TCTTAGCGATTTGTAGTGTATTGCTACAGTATGTGGTTAGCAACAAGAAAGAACCTCCTATTGTCTATTCTGGTTCTTAGGTATGACTCTTGTCCCTCCTTCACCTAAAGTCTGCAGGTGTTCATGCCCGTTTTTTGTGCATCCATTTGCATGAAAATTGCTTGCTTCGAAAAATAGATTGCTTACAAGTTAATAGCACAACTCAACCACATAGCAACACTTTTGCACTAGCCATTTGCTTACTGATGTAAAACTACAATAAATTAATGTTTCATTAATTTATTAATACTATTTTATAAATGTATTTAATATTTAACATTTTAAAATTAATATAAATAAAAAAAACAATATAAATGAATACTGTAGTAAATTAGTTCCAAAAAATGATCTGCATACTTTATGGTGTCATTTATATCTCTCAGCCCAGCTGATGTGGGACAAGTAATGAGACAAAATTTTGTAGTGTTAAATTTAATAGAGGTTTGTTTTGGTGGATGCCATGGTAAATCTTTGTAATACAAATGACAGGAGATGACAGTCAGCGTGATTGTCTGTATTTGTATGTGGCTGTGTGATCAGATGAGATAAGGGACTGTTTGTGTTATTGTGTGTGTGTGTGTGTGTTGTCTAGCATGTCTCAGATGGGTATATAGAGCAGCATTTCAGGTCACCAGAAGGTCAGTCTATAACAGCTGATGTTTCCCGAACTCTTCCCCTTTGTTCCGTCCTCCTCTCACAGCTGCTAATCTGTTTTACCAAGGTACACGTTTCTATCTATGCCTCCCTGAAGTTTTCAGAACCAGTTATCAATCTCATTCAGTCCCTCACTCATACACTCTCTCACCGGCTCAAGCATGCACACCTCCTGACAGTTATCGCCTTCTCTCTTTCCCTCTCTGTCAGTCATCTGAGCCGTCTCTAGTGTCAGGGTTGATCGGAGATCCCCAGAGGACCGATGCGAGAGCCATCATTCACTTAAAACTGTAGTTTTCCCTCCTTCAGCCTGCATCTCCTGTACTCCTCATCCAGGGTTACCATAGCAACACCCACCCCCACCACTCATCCACACCCTTTTTCTCGTAGCACTCATCTCACTCCGGGGACCAGCCTGGTGTTTTTCTAGCTAGAGGCCCTCAGGGGCCGCCGAGCCTCAGTTGTTACTGGTGAGTGCCGTCATGATGAAGCCTAAAAAATGTATTTAGATTTGTGAAAAATAATACTTTTTATTTTTTTAAATAATGTTAAATGTTTACTAATTATATATATATATATATATATATATATATATATATATATATATACACACACTATATATAATGCAAAAAATAGATTTTTTTACTTTTAAATTTACAATCATAAATTTTAATTCATTTAAAATTTTTATGTTAAGGCCAATGTAAATTTAAATGGGTGGTAAAAAAAATTGTTGAGCTTTTTCTTAAGTGAAGTAAAGCTAAAATAAAGTAAAATATTAGATGTAAAACCTAACTAGATTTAAATGTTGAAATAAGTTGAAATACTAAAATTACTGAAACTACAACTGAAATAAAAAATAAATCAAAGCTATAGCTTTAATATATATATTTAATAATAATTATATACACACACACACAGATGAGTTCTGGAGAACTGTAATGTGTAGTTGTTTCAGGTAGGATTTCTATTATTGTTATTATTCTGTATATGCCGACCCTCACCGCTCAAGAAACCTTACAAAGATTTAACATGGTAACTGTAGTTTCCACCAAAATACCACAGTTATATCAAAACCTCAATGTTTTTTTCCCAGTTATATACAAACATACAAAATTATAATTTTGGAGTAAAGTTGACAGTTCTATGCATGTGTGTAGTGCATATAGTACAGTTGTGCATATATATATACACTACTGTTCAAAAGTAGCATTTATTTCATAGAAATCTTTTGTAACATTATAAATGTCTTCACTAATTCATTTTCTTTTTTTTTGTTGAGGCCTTTTCCATAATATTTTTTTTTCGTTAATTGAAATAAAGCTGAAATAAAGTAAAATAATATTTAATAATAATTATATACACACAGAATAAATAAAACTACAATTAAATCAAAAGTGAAAATATAACAATATTATATATATATATATATATATATATTCAAAATATTAATAAATACTATAGTAGTATATAAATAATAAATAATTTACATATGAATAACGGCTTTAAATATTCTGAAGAAATTGTGAGTGTAAAATTATGCCAAAGTGTTGCCATGGTACACTGGGTGGAATTTAGCATGTTGCTTGGCTGTTGCTAGAGTATTTTCTTACTAGTCCAAGTTAAAAGATCCCACCCTCAAATCTCTTTCAGTATCTAGATATGGTTCAGGACTCTACTTCTATACAATTTTATAGGATTTTAAAATATTTTATCACCCACCAGGGGAAAATTACAAATCTGAGCACTTTTAAAAGTTAGATGAGCTACGTGCTGAAGTTTAATACTTACAATTAGTTAGGAGTTTATTCATGAGCAACTGTAGTAGCCATACTAGCACCAACTATGAATAAATAATGCACTGTAGGCTCAGAAAAGAAAACACAAGAACACACACATGCACCTTGAGTGAGGTGTAATTAAGTGCACCAAGTTAATCAACACAGTACAGTACTCCAAAGCAGCTCTTGCAGCACAAGTTAAGCTCTTGGGTAATAATATGTTTCCATTACCACACAGCCAATCCAAATGCTTCATTAAAAACAGCAAACATGGCTCACATACAAGTCTCTAAATAAAGCTGTCCTGACTCTCATTTCTGCTCCACATACACGATTCAACAGACATGCACTGTCTGTCATGACCTTGCTTTCGGAGGCTACGCTTATAAATATGGCCAACATGACCATAGCCAGCCAACTCATCAAATAATGATTAATGGGTCATCGTGCATCTATAAACATAAGCATATTTACTGAAATGTGTGGCACGTGGAGGTGAAGGGGATGATTGTGTTTGTGTTCGGATGACAGTGAGCGATGATCTTATTATAAATGATCCTCCCATAAGGAGAATCATAAACTCTTTTGAAACTCTCAAGACTGTCAGTGACATAGTTGACAGGCTCGAAAGGGGCCGAGAGACTGAGAGAGATCACTCGGATAAGAAGCTGGAGGAACGGCATGGCACGGCACTGGTTTTCACAAGTGTGGAATCACAGTGTGTTTAGCGCAGATCTCAGTTTGAGTGTGGAAGCATTTCTCACTGTGGCTGTCAGGTGTCATGTGAGCGCGCTCTGTGTCATGTTCGGGTGTGGTGCCTTGATTATCGCCTGTCACTTTTCTTTTTTGTCACACTCTTTCACTTCTGCCTTCTCTTCCTTTTGCCATTGATTCTTTCCGCATAGCAGGTAGCCAGAATGATGCTTGTTTTTGCTTGGCATGCTTCTTTCTGAAGGCTTTCTCAAGATTTGCAAATACTGCAATATTATCATAAATACATTTTCATATTTTTAAATTGTCATCACTTTCATGTTTCTTCAAAATCTTCATGACTTTCTTTTTTCAGTGGAACACAAACTAGGATATTTTGAAAGAAAACGGATGACAGTGAGCGATGATCTTATTATAAATGATCCTCCCATAAGGAGAATCATAAACTCTTTTGAAACTCTCAAGACTGTCAGTGACATAGTTGACAGGCTCGAAAGGGGCCGAGAGACTGAGAGAGATCACTCGGATAAGAAGCTGGAGGAACGGCATGTCACGGCACTGGTTTTCACAAGTGTGGAATCACAGTGTGTTTAGCGCAGATCTCAGTTTGAGTGTGGAAGCATTTCTCACTGTGGCTGTCAGGTGTCATGTGAGCGCGCTCTGTGTCATGTTCGGGTGTGGTGCCTTAATTATCGCCTGTCACTTTTCTTTTTTGTCACACTCTTTCACTTCTGCCTTCTCTTCCTTTTGCCATTGATTCTTTCCGCATAGCAGGTAGCCAGAATGATGCTTGTTTTTGCTTGGCATGCTTCTTTCTGAAGGCTTTCTCAAGATTTGCAAATACTGCAATATTATCATAAATACATTTTCATATTTTTAAATTGTCATCACTTTCATGTTTCTTCAAAATCTTCATGACTTTCTTTTTTCAGTGGAACACAAACTAGGATATTTTGAAAGAAAATGGGGTTCAAAACAGAATTCGATTCAATTGAATTGGTGTAGACAAAGACGCATATATATATTCTTCTAAATATATTATTTTATGTTAAAAAGATGAAAGTCATACAGGTTTAGAACAATAAGAATGTGAGAAAATAATGGCACAATTGTCATTTTCTTTTGTTGAAATATCCTTTAAAAAACTTATTTTTTTATCTTATCTGCATGTCTTTCCCTTTCCAGTTTTTTGGAATAGCATACTAGTCATTCATTTCATAATTGATGAACTGTTAAACTGAATTGAATCAACACTGACTTGAGCTGAATAACAATGCTATTGCTTTCTGTAGAGCTGATTATAGCGGAATTAAACTATTTTCATAATCTGATGAACAGTGCACTATTGTTGAAATGAACTGAATCAACACTGAACTGACTTTAGCTGAATTATGCACTATTATCTTAGAGCTGAATTTGCTAATGAACATTCACACTGTTATTGAACTAAATTGAATCAACATTAAACTAAATTGAGCTGAGAAAGACACTATTGTCTGGGAATCCAGCATCCAGCACTACTGAAATTACAACTTTGATGAGGCACAGTGATGTTTAAACCTCTAAACACTGATTAACAGAATGGCAGAAAGAAATAGTTTGAACTTATAAAGGGGGAATGTAATGGGACACAATTCAGGTGTTTTTCAAACCTGCATTTGACCACAAAAGTTCGCCATCTCTGGAGAACATGCATCAACTACTACGCCACAGCTCTGACAGATCTCTGTTTAAGGGCAGAAACAGAGAATTGTGTTTGTGAAATATTTTACTGCATGAAGTGGTCAATAAAACAAATCTCTCTCTGTCTTAAAGGTTGATTTAGAAGTGTTGGACCCACGGGGCCGGACTCCTTTGCACCTGGCCGTCACACTAGGCCATTTCGAGTGCGCCCATCTGCTAGTCCAGCATGGAGCCGATGTCAGCAAAGAAAACAGAAATGGCTGGACAGGTAATACAGCGAAAAAGCCTTTGCATTTTGAGAGGGGATGCAGTAATTCTGCCCAATATGATAAGCTGGTCATTATTTACACTACCGTTCCAAAGATTGGGGTCAGTACAATTTTTTTTAATGCAAAGTGCATTAAATTGAACAAAAGTGACAGTGAGGACATTTAAATGTTACCAAGAATCCTAAAGAAATGTTTCACAGTTTCTACAAAAACATTTAGCAACACAAGTGCTTTGAATATTGATAATAATAATTCTTAATAATAATAAAAATAAGAAGAAATGTTTCTTGAGCAGCAAATCAGCATATTAGAATGATTTCTGCAGGATCATGTAACACTGAAGACTGGAGTAATAACTGCTGAAAATTCAGCTTTGCCATCACAGAAATAAATTACATTTTAAAATATATTAACATATATTAAGAAAAAAAAATTGGTGTAGAAATAATTTTCACTCAGAAATTGCTAGTAAATTTCCCAAACAGTTGCGAGTAACATATAGATTAAATGTGAAATAAAATGCAGAAATAGTATTTTCTTGTAAAACATTCTCCAATTATCTTTTTTTATTTACAACTTAGTTACAGTGTACAGGTAAATTTCGGCATCCCAACATTATAGTGCACTGTATGACAAATGGATGTTTATTTAATTTATTAGTATTTTTAAAGATGATCTTTAAGTGAGCATTAGATGACAACAAAGCTATTCTAAATGTAAATATATATGACACATCTCCTAATTTTGGTAACACTACTTTACCTTCTGTCTCAGTGTTGCAGGAGGCCATCAGCACACGTAACCCGGAGATGGTGCGGTTGGTGCTGCGTTACCGTGACTACCAGCGCAACACTAAGAGACTGGCAGGGATCCCGCACCTGTTAGAGAGACTCCGACAGGTCAGCCCCAGATGTGCCTTAATAAACCCTGAACCTGTTAATGACAAAACAACAAGCCACCAGCTTAACAACCACCTGCTGCCTACACACCTGAGCCCTTCATTCCAGTAGATTCATGCATACAGATACACAAACAAACAGGTTTACGGGAAACCGCTGGGTCTACATCATTGTTTGTTTACAAGACCTCTATTTTCCCTTTCCTTACCAGTTTTCTTAAACCCTGGGCGCCCCGTAGCTCTTTTCCTTTTGTTTATGATGTATGTGCAAGCGCTCTGGTTCTCCCCGCTCCTCATCTCTCTAGGAGTTTTATTATTCATGTCTTTCCCTGCAGAGCGATCCGTCTCTTGCTTTTGCCCTCCCACTGTATGCTCACATTCACTCTAACCTTCTCTTCCCCTCTTGCCTTTCAGGTGCAAGACTTTTACGTGGAGATGAAATGGGAGTTTACGAGTTGGGGTAGGTCATATGTGCCCTAAAAAAGTGTAAATGGCATGTTTGGACAGTGACTTCCTTGTTCCACATCCTCATGTCCTGCTATTGTTGAACTCTCCCTCTATTTCCAGTTCCTCTCGTGTCTCGTATCTGTCCGAGTGACACATATCGGGTATGGAAGAGTGGTCAGTGTTTGCGGGTGGACACGACGCTCATGGGATTTGAGCAAATGACCTGGCAAAGAGGCAATCGCAGCTTCATATTCAGGGGTCAAGGTGTGTGCGATGGCTTTTTTCTTGCACTGAACGACCTTTCTTTTTCTCCACCCGTTACTTTTCAATCAGATTTGGGTTTGATCTCCGCTTTTGTTCTCGATGCCACTTCTCGCTCAGTGTTCTTTCAAACAAGCCATCATTGGCATGGAAACAACCTCAGTCTCACTTCGCCACAGTCTCTAATTGGCTTCCATCCGTTCAGTCTCTCTCTCTCTCTCCACCTGTCACTCAGACTCCAGCGCTATGGTAATGGAAGTGGATCATGACAGACAGCTGGTGTTTTGTGAGACGCTGCCTTGCCTCTCTTCCTCTCCCGCCTCACCCTCCACCAGGCCGTGCACAACTGCTTTGAGCCTTCTGGGGGAGCTGCAACCTAGCGACGAACAGGTGGCGGCCCGTCTATCCACTCCCGTGGTGGCCACACAGCTAGACACAAGGAACATCTCCTTTGAGAGGTGAGCACTTAATAACAATTGCCAAGTCATTGTTGGCAATTAAACTGTTCAAAAGCAAGGGCATCGTAACCCTTTACTGTGGCTGTTCTGTTAAGCCAAGAGTGTGAGCCAGCACTTTTGGACTAAGCTTCATCATAAAATGTGTGATATTGGACTCACCTCTGTCTGCATGGCACGTTGGCAACCTGGTAACATGCCTGAATGTCTCTGCAGGAATAAAACGGGCATTCTTGGCTGGCGTAGTGAGAAAACGGAGGTGGTGAATGGGTACGAAGCAAAGGTACAGCTTATATCATAATACAATATTCAGTGGGTACAAATGTCTGAGAACATATTGAAAATTTTGGTTCAAATCTTTTTGCTAAAAGTTGTAATAATATAATTTACAATGATATTAAATAAGAAACATGCAAAACAGATACATTTTCAGACTTTTGGATGTCATTATATGGTCAAAAAATGTAATTTATATTTTCACCACCGATATATTAAAAGTTGTATATTAAATAGTACATTGTACTTTACCTGCACACATACAATACACTCACATAAGGCAAAATATAATATATAGCAAATCTCAGCTGTGTGATTGTTTATATCGATGCAAAATGCAAGCTGTATTATCGCACAATTCTACACATAAAGCTGGATACATATTATATCCAACTTTGTCTGCATACACACAGTATACTCACGTAAAGTGATATGTAGCAAATATCAACTGCCAATTTTTTTGTCGCAAAATGTCAAATAATGTTATCACGCAGTTGGATATATAAGTATAATACAAATTTCAACTGCTTGATTGTTTGTATTATTGCAAAATGTAAACTATATTATCAACCAGCTCCAATCTGCTAAACGCGGCTATAAGGGATAGAGATATTAAGATATTATAGACATTAACATCATGATTTTCTGTAAAGCTGCTTTGAAACAATGTGTAATGTGAAGAGCGCAATACAAATACATTTTATTTCACTTGTATATGTACGAACAGGCATGGAAACATTCAATTAAGAATCACTACAGAATTCAGAAACACAAAATGTACTGATGCATGTACAGGAAATTAAACACCTTAGCTGATAAACCTTTTTCAAGTTCAATATCTTTATTTATCTTGACAGTTATCCTTGGCTAATAGGAAGGCTGTTAAGGTGTGTGTTAATTAGCTGGCAAACTGGCAAATGTGACTAGTCCAGTCATAGTCATTATTATTCATTGTTGTTGGTCCTGCTTTGTACCCTACCTGATTGAAAAAAATCCAGTCTTTCACTCTCCCTGTGTCAGTTTGAGTCTTGTTAAAATTTTAAATCCCCGCCGCCAAGATGTTCCTCTGTCGGTCACGGATTATGGAAAGGGAAACTTAACTTAAATCTATAGGGGTGGTTGGATTTATTCACGCACATTACAATTATTTAAAATTATTTAAAGCTTCTTTCTTTTCAGATTCTTATTTACAGCATTATCTTAATAGGCTGTATATTAACTTATTGGGAGAAAACCGGTTGTTCTATGTGAAATCAGACATTTGAGCACCCCTTTATAGCCAAAACAGCATGATCATAACACCTCAGCGAATATTCGACTGTGAGATTGGTAGTCGAATCAGGCTTCTCCTATCAAAGCATCGAATCTTCGACTATTCGGGGTCACCCCTAAACTTTATAAAACTGAACATAACTTTTCCAGAAACGATCAAAAATATGCCATTACGAAAGAAGAAAAACGTTATGAAAATGAAAAAAAGAACTCAGTCGCAAAAATGTAACATGCTCTTCAAATATACTTAATTCTTTGTTGACAATTTTCAGATTTGTTTTCACGAATCGTGGATTTTGAATCCGTTGCCACAGATTTCGCTTACGCTTCGCAAATTTTCGTTCACTGTTTTGGCACAAACCTCTCGTGAGGGCGGGCTTAACAGCGGTCTACTCCGATTGGCTAGTGAGATTTTTGCTGGACAGCTGCTCTCTGGCCTGGAAGTACAGACATCAGTAGTGCGAATATTGGAAAGCTGACGTGCCGTGTTAAGTAACTTTTACAAACAAAACTAGTAAGTCTCATTCATATGAAATATATTTTGTGTGATCATGTGTTTTAACTAGGGCTAGGCAAGTTAACGAGTTATTATCGCGTTAACGCATTAATTGATTAACGCCGACAATTATTTTATCGCGCATTAACATTTTTTTTAAATTATGAAAGTCTGTTGCTCACTTGCTCTGAATACATATACAGACAAACCATGGGTCACAGGAGGGGTGGGATGTTGATTAGTACTGGCTTGGGATGGGTGTCATCACGCGTCTCAACCAATGAGAGCATTTGGGGTGGGCCTAAGACTGCAGCAGCTCTCATGACTTCTTCATAAGTGGGAAATAGGACGTTTCTGATAGCGCGTGAAGTCAGCAGAGAAGTGCTCTCGCTCAGCACAGTGGAGTGCATCGTTTTGTTAACTTTGTGGTTTATTATTTTGAGTCGTTTGGGACGCGGTAACACACTGCCCTCTCACAATATATTCCTTTACTGATCTATCACTTTTGCCGCTCAGAAATGTTCACGCATTCATGCTGCACTTATCAGAAGTTCAGCGCTCCGACACTACACATCCACCAACTGAACCTCGCTCTGGCCCACATCTTCCAACCGAGCCAGAGACGGCTAAACGAACCGCGGCACGGAGCGATCGCACTAGTCAAACGAACTGGGATTTGGGAATCAAACGCGCTCGGGCACGGTTAAGATTGCCCCTAGTGTGGGTACACCCTTTATATTTAATTTGATTACATTAATGCTATAAATTGAGATTTACAAGAAATATTTTAACTGCTATGTAAAAGGAATACTGCTGTAAAAAAGCACCTTATTTGTTTAAAGTGTTTGCAAGCTAAATGTTATTGCACTTTTGTTCATATAGCAGGACTTTTTAAATGAAAAAGTGCACAATACACTACTTTTGAATTCATTATTGAATGTTGTGCATAACAATGCGATTAATCGCAGAAAATCATGCGATTAATCGCGATTAAAAAAAATTTTTAATCGTTGCCCAGCACTAGTTTTAACCAATAAATATCTCATCTTACATTTATATCCATTTATTTTCAACACACCCGCACCACATTTAAAAAGAACCCACCTATATTTTTCCTTTCCAAACAATGGCAATAATTGTGTAATACTTTTAATTAATGTTTGAAAATATTATTTATAATGCTATATACATCGTAAAAAATGAAACTAAAACGAAACTAAATTTTATTGCAAATTTGAAAACAATATTAAAATAAAACAAATTTTAAAAAATGCTAAACTATAATAACCTTGCTTTACATACAGTATAAACTGTTTGTGGGTCATTTTGGAGGACACATGTGAAAATGTTTTTTAACATATGTATAACACTAAATTGAACAATACTCTCTTATATATGTTTTTTTATTCATTAAACTTTTTCTTTTAAAGTAAGCATTTTACATTTTAGACAAGTGCAAGTTTGTTGCTTAAAGAAAAAATTGTCACATTTACAAAATCAGGTGATTGTGTTCACCCATCTATGCAAATGTATGTTTATGTAGAGATCAAGGTTATTATAGTTTTGCATTTTTTAATTTGTTTTATTTTAATATCGTTTTCAAATTTGCAATAAAATATAGTTTCGTTTTTATTAGTTTCAATAATAATTTTGTTAGTTTTAGGCAAGTTTAGTTTTTATTTTGTGAACACATTTCTATTTCGTTTTTATATAGTTTTGTTTCAGTTTTAGTTTTAGTAATAGAAGTTTAGCAGAATTAACAGATCACTTCCGGTGCGCAGACCAAAGAAAGACTTTAACCTTATTGACGCAAACGTCTAGCTTATTCGTGTGCACACTCTGCAGTCTGAAGTTCTATTTACAATTCGATTTGCAGCGTTGCGCATGATAGCCATTCGCGCAGCAGCTGAAGTCAATGACAGCTTAGGGTGCACTCTTTGCTTGCTTTCTGTAGCCTATACAATTTTATTTTATAAGTTTTATTTTTAATGCTTCTATAAAGGACCAACGGTCATGTATAGGCCTACTGCAGAGTTTAAGGAGAGACAATCGCATTTAACAGTAAAGGCCTATTTAAATATGTTCTTTTAATTTATGAAGAATTATAAGTGTGTGGTTTATGCACATTTTTTCAAAATAACCTGGCAGATTGTTCACAAGATGTAGGAAAAAGTTTTGTATTGTTTACAGAAAGGATACGCGTTCTCATCTTTTTTTCTGTTAATTATGTTGCGCTGCTTGTCTATTTTTCTTCAAAGCACCGACTTAGAATGCATAATGTTCGTTTGATTTCTTGTTACATGAGAAAATAAATAATTTTGCCTACCTGATTGATGTAGCAGATTTTTTGCGAGTGCCGTTCGTGTTGCAGTCTTTATGTCAAACAGGTCATGTACATATGGGGGTAGAATTGTTGCATTATTCCAAATAAATATATTATGATCCACAAATAAATGTAAAGAGATTTACAAAAAATTTTACATATTGACAAATAGAATGAGATCCACAAATAAATCTCAGAGATTCACAAACATTAAATTCACAAATAAAATGAGATTTGCAAATAAAAAACATATTCACAAATACATTTTTATTCATTTATTCATTCATAGCCATTCATTTGTGAGTGTGCTGTACATTTGTAGATCGCTCGCTGTGCATTTGTGGATCGCTCGCTGTGCATTTGTGGTTTTCAAACATTTCTAGCATCAAGACGCTGAAAATCCACAAATGCGTGGACACCACCCACCATCTACTCCAGCCAATCAGATAACAGCCACACTTCGCTGAACAATCGTAGCACGTTCTCGGTATATCTAATCACGTTTTGCTTTACAATCAGGGAGGTCTCTTCCTGAAATAACTTCATTCATAATATGCATTGTCTCAAATAGGAAATTTAAGGGCCATAAAAATTGATACAGTAAAAGATGTTTAAAATTGTATTTAGTTAGATCATTAGACTGTGTATCAAGCCAAGTCACACTATATTTTACATGCCTTTGAAAATGCCAGAGAAACAGCGCTTTAAATCACGGCTGTGGAAACAATGCTATACTGGATACAAACGCGTTATGGAAGCGTCATTCAAGATGGAAAGAAAAGCGTCAAAAAGTAACAGACTAATAAATATGCGAGTTTGTGTAATAAGTTAAATTGCTGTTAAACAACAGCCAACATAACAGTGTTTTCCATTTTTTCCAGTGAAGCAGTTTGGATGAGATGGATATGAGTAGCTATGTGGATCTAACGATGTATATAGCATTATAAATAATATTTTCAAACATTCATTAAAAGTATTTCAAAATTATTGCCATTGTTTGGGAAGGAAAAAATATAAGTGGGTTCTTTTTTAAATGTGGTGCAGGTGTGTTGAAAATAAATGGATATAAATGTAAGACAAGAGATATTTATTGGTTAAAACCACCTTGATCACGCAAAAAATATTTCATATGAATCAGACTTACTAGTTTTGTTTGTAAAAGTTATTTAACACAGCATGACAGCTTTCCAATATTCGCACTACTGACGTCTGTACATCCAGGTCAGAGAGCAGCTGTCCATTAAAAATCTCACTAGCCAATCAGAGTAGACTGCTGTTAAACCCGCCCTCACGAGAGATTTGTGCCAAAACAGTCAATTAAAATTTGCGAAGCATTCAAAATCCACGATTTGTGAAAACGAATATTTGAATATTGTTAACAAAGAATTAAGTATATTGAGCATTTCACTGTAAATGCTCAGAAAATTCTAACTCCGCTTTAAAGTTCTTTATCATTTGAAATGTCAAGACCATGAACAAATTTCATGTGTAGGATGATGAGTGAATGTTATATTTCTGTCATGGATATAATGTGGCAGATTAACAAACAAATTATAAAAACAGAGTGAACTAAACTCATGTTCTCAAATGTCTTTGCTTCAGGTTTACTGTGCTTCTAATGTTGAGCTAATCACACGAACACGTACTGACCATCTCACCGACCAGCATAAAACAAAACCCAAAGGTATGTTTGACTGAAGGACTGACCAGTTTGTTTTTCAAATCAAAATTTGGTTATGTGCTCACATTGGCATTTTTGGCATATTTTCAGAAATTACAATAACACATCGAAAATAATCATTTTATTAAATCAATACTATACCGTGCAAAAGTTTTGGGTCAGTAAGAGTTAAAAAAAAATAAATTACTACTTTTATTCAGCAAGAAAGCATTAAATTGATCAAAAGTGACAGTAAATTTAGTTTCAGCTTTCATTAAAGAATCCTGAAAAAAAGTGTATCATGGTTTCCACAAATGTATTAATCAGCACAACCGTTTTCAACACTGATAATAATAGGAAATGTTTCTTTAGCAGCAAATCAGCATATTAGAATGATTTCTGAAGGATCATGTGACACTGAAGAGTGGAGTAATAACTGCTGAAAATTCTTAAAATATATTAAAATAGAAAACAGTTATTTAAAATGTAATAATATCTCAAAATATCGCTGATTTTACTGTATTTTTAATTAAATAAATGCAGTCTTGCTGAGCATAAGGCAGAAAATACAGATAAAGAAATTTAGTTTTTGAAGCGCATATGCTGTTTTTTCAACAAAACACAATGAACATGTGTATTGGTGGGCATGCCATAGTGAATATGAATATTCATTATTTCTATGCCCACTCAAATTATTCCCAAACAAACAGCGTCTTTGTCTTGTCTACGGTTACTGTGATGTAATACAGATACTTGGGATTATGCACGTCTTCTGTAATGTGACCTGCTGTGTTTTTGTCTCAGGCGGCAAGACTCCTCTACAATCCTTCCTGGGTATCGCTGAACAGCACATAGGGCCTAACAACGGAGTGAGTGAACAGAGCCTGTCAAGAATTTGTTCATTTATCATCAAGACATCTAAAGTGCTTGTCTAGTATTATGTCACTTCAGTAGCCTCAAAATTAAGTGTGTGTGTGTATATGTGTGTTTTTCAGCACACTATGGTGACTCAGATATCATGCCCTGCAACGAACCCTTTGGCCGTGACGGCTGAGGAGTACTTTAGTCCCAACATGAGTCAGAGAGACATCGGCCAGCCCTGTCACCTCACCACCAAAACACAAAGGTAGTGCATCAATCCAATACTGCTTTCATTTTCATTTTGAGACACATTCTAAATAAAATGGTTCTTTCACATTGTTATGCAGTTTCTGTTGTGTGCTGAGTGGTTGCTTATTGTAAAAAGAGTTCACAATCCAGATTGTGGTCTTTTCCTGATCCCCTCTCCATTTGTTTCTTGTCTTTCCTCAAAGAGTCTTATCAACTGTAAACAATAGTAATAATGGTGCTTACTCATACAAAACCATTACTAATGAGACGTGTTCCTCTTCAAATAGTTTCCTGATGCTGCTTTCAAGTGCACCTGGGAAGCTTTCAAGTTGGAAACAACACAGAAGTAGCCTAAACAAAACAAAAGAATTGTATTGTGAATGATAAATCTGCATTAATATATCTAAATTTAAAATGATGAAAATTTTAAATTTTCATCACATTTATACATGGTATCAAAATTAATGTTTAATGCTTAAATAAGACTTTGCCTGGTCATTATTAATATTTGCAGAACTCCTAATTATGATATTTCTGACTGTTGGTATTATTAACTAAAACAAAAACTGTTAAAGGGGTCATATGATGCTGCTAAAAAAATATTATTTTGTGTATTTGTTGTAATGAAATGTGTTTATGTGGTTTAAGGTTAAAAAAACACATTATTTTCCACATACTGTACATTATTGTTTCTCCTCTCTGCCCCGCCTTTCTGAAACGCGTAGATTTTTACAAAGCCTGAAAAAGCGAGGTGTGCTCTGATTGGCCAGCTATCCAGTGCGTTGTGATTGGCCGAATTCCTCAAGCGTGTGACGGAAATGTTACGTCCCTTACCATATTGTGATGCCTGCGGCAACCACATGTGACGACCCCGGGCTGGACTCCGCTTCGTCCACGGTGAAAGCCGATCCGGCGATTGACAGCGCGAAGTTGAAGTATTTCCTCAGCGACCAGCACGGATCAGCTCCAGGCATGACGAAGCGATATCGTCCTCTTTTGGAAGACCAAACAAAGTAGTTTCGCTTTCACAACGAAACACACAGCACCTTCACGACATGGCGGCAGCAACAATACTACAGCGAGAATAAAAGTTACGCCTTCTTTCTTTGCGTGAACATTTTGGGCAGCGTTATGCAAATCTTCCCACATCGTGACGTAGACATGTGGAGGCGTGCTAGAACGAGCCGTTTTAGGTAGTCATGGTCGACTCTTAACTTTTATAAAGAATATCTCTTTGGATTTGAGACTTTAGTCTTTGCAACTTTACAGATCTTCTTTATGCACCAAGAGCTTGTAACACTTCAAAGAGAAAGGAAAAATTTAAATCGAATCATATGACTCCTTTAAATTTGTTTTCAGTAATTGAAATTAACTATATTTTACTTGACAAAATAAAATATAAATATTAGATTACAAACTTAAAATCAAACTTGAATCAAACTTGAGAAATTGAAAATTTGAAATGTTGCTTTGGCAACCAACTGAAATAAATAAGTTGAAGTACTAAAATTACTAAAACTAAAATAGAAATAAAGCTATATAGAAATATATATGAAATATAACACTAACTAATATAAATGACAAAAGCACATAACAAATGTAGTTAAAAATTAAAATGAAAGTATGAAAATGAAAATATAAAAATAAGAGCTAATTCAAAATATGAATGAATACTATAATAGCATATAATAAATACTACTTAAAAAACACTGCTCCACTTGACGGGCATATGAGATTACGCTGCTTCGTTTCTGGACACCAACTAACATGTCAGAAAAAACTGCCAAGACTGTATGAGGTCACGCAGGTGTCTTATATGTACAGTATGTTTTTTCCCCCAGGTTCAAAGCCAAGATGTGGTTGTGTGAATCACACCCTTTATCTCTGTCGGAGCAGGTAGCTCCTATCATCGACCTCATGGCCATCTCCAACACACTGTTCGCCAAGCTTAGGGACTTCATCACCTTACGCCTACCTCCTGGCTTCCCTGTCAAGATAGGTAAGATAGAGAGGAAAAGAAAATACTGTGCAGGAACATACTACGTGCCTAAAAAAATGTTTTTAAATTGGCAGATTTAACTTAACATTTCTCAGCAAATTTGTCTCTAAAGTATGGCTAGGTAGCAATCACAAACACATTTAAATGAACAGTTCACCCAAAAATTAAACTTTACTCACCCTCAGTACATCCAAGATGTAGATGAATTTGTTTCTTCATCGTAACAGATTGGGAGAAATGTAGCATTTCGTCTTGCTTACCAATGGACTCTGCATTGAATGGGTGCCGTCAGAATGAGAGCTCAAATGGCTCCATCAATTAACATCTTATGAAGTGAAACACTGCATGTTTGTAAGAAACAAATCCATCATTAAGAGGTTTTTATTTTCTTTTTATTAATTTCAAATCATTCCTTTCGGCTAAAATATGAGTCCTCTATGCATAATATTGCTTTCTCCAGTAAAAAAGTCGTCTTGTCTGAATCAGGAGAGAAATATGCACAGATCAAGCACCGTTTACAAGCAAATACAGTTCTAAACAAAGATGTAGGTGGATTTTGATGGGAAAGGATGTGAGATGGACTTCTTCACTGGTGGAAATGTTAATGATTAATTTGTTTTGTATAAACCCACAGCTTTTTGCTTCACAAGACATTAATTGATGGACTGGCGCTGTGTGGATTACTTATTATTGTGATGTTTATATAAGCTGTTTGAACTCTCATTCTGACGGCACCCATTCACTGCAGAGGATGCTATATTTTTCCAAATCTGTTCTGATGAAGAAACAAACCCATCTAGATCTTGGATGGCCTGAGGGTGAGTAATTTTTCAGTAAATTTTCATTTTTGGGTGAACTATTTCTTTAAACTATCAGGCTAATGCAACAATAACAACATCTCACCACAGAAATTCCCATCTACCACATCCTGAATGCTCGCATCACCTTTGGGAACCTGAATGGTTGCGAAGAGGGTGGTTTGCCCCGAGTGGATGCTGAAGGGGACGGACAGAAGGACAGTCCCAGGACGGAGACGCCTTCTCCAGGCAGCGACTCTTCCAGCGTGTCCAGCTCCAGCTCCACAAGTAAGAATAAACCTGCCTTTTACCTTCAGGGAAATGTAATTGTTAGAAACCATTTAAGATGATGACCAGATTGAAAAATATGGTGTTACAAAGTAATACAGTGTTCAGACAAAGCACTTGCCATTTTTAATGGCCAGAGAGGAATTGATTGGATAAATGTTTAATGATTGCATTCCTTATAGAGCTGCCTGTTGTACAGATGTAACTCAGATCAATACATTTGACTACAATAATCTGCAATGGGCTTCATGAATGTGTGTTTGTGAAACAATCAGACTCATGTCGTGGAGGAGAGATCCCACCTTGTGTGTTTGAGGCTCCGCGAGGCTACAGCATTTTAAGAGGGAACCAGCGGGAGAACATTAGAGAAGAGGAAGATGATCTGCTACAGTACGCCATCCAGCAGAGCCTGATAGAGGCTGGATCAGAATATGACCAGGTCTGACATGCAATCACACACTTGTATGTTAGCAGATGCTCATAGGTGTTGACGACAAACTACAGAAATATATCTTACACTGTGTCCTTACCAAGCATGAAACCGCATGGCATCAAATAATCTTTCTGACCTTACTGAATCCAAAAATACTGCATGATGTGACAAAATAAGTCAGTCTGAGAATATTTGATTTTTAATACACAGCCATGTGGAGCCAGATTTTGTTGGGTATTCAAAGTCCCTATAAGGCAAATGAATTCACAAAAAATATCTTTATCTCAAGTAACTTTCGAATTTCAAATGTTTTGTTCATCACATATGAATGCAGCTTTTGAATTTTGAAGCCTAACTACAATCACCAGAAGCTAAAAGCTAGACGTAGGTTATAAACTAATTACACTACGGTCGTATGACATCACCACCATTTAAGTTTTTAACAACTCTTTCAGTCTTTTGCACAATTATAAACACAACAAGGCTGTGAAAGTGGGCTAGTGAGTTGATGAGTTTACCTGTTCCATCCCAACAAACTCTGTAGTCCCTTTTAGCCGCTTGTTAGCAACTGCCATTTCTTTGACCCTCAGGTTGTGTTCAAATCCTTTTAACACTTGTGGTGTTCACAAAAAAATGGCTTATAAATCTCTTATGCAATATTATCACCAAATATTGGTATAAATCTTTTTGTCAGCTTGTTTTCTTTCAAGTAGGACTGGTTTTGTGTTTATTTTTGGAACTGATTTATCGTAGGCCTCATTAATCTGAGTTTACGTACATCAGTTTTTGAGTGAAAAAAGCGTTATTTGTGGATAATTTTGTCAATATTAAATAAAATATGAAAAAATGTGCACTGTTTATCACACTAGCATGCTCTAATGTTTAACCAAGAAATTAGTTTTGAAAAGTTTTTATTTTGTAAACATTTTTTTAAAAATTGCAACAAAAAAAAAAACAACAAAAAAAAAATCACGTGTGGGGTTCCCAGTTAAAAATGACCGGCCTACAAAAATAGCTTATTGATTTCTTGTTATGCTATATTATTATCTAATATTGGTATCAATCTTTTTGTCAGCTTGTTTTCTTTCAATTAGGACTGATTTTGTGTTTATTTTTGAAACTGATTGATCGTAGGCCTCATTGAGCGGAGCTTACATACCTCAGTTTTTGAGTGAAAAAAACGTTATTTGTGGATAATTTTGTCAATATTAAATAAAATATGAAAAAATTGCACTGTTTATCACACTAGCATGCTGTAATGTTTAATCAAGAAATTTGTTTTGAAATTTGGTTAGGGTTCTTCTCACTGTCTGTAGCATGAGGCAGTACCTGTAACCCAGTCAGGTTGCACAGGTAGTCCAGCTCCTCCAGGATGGCACGTCCATACGTGCCATCATGAGGAAGTTTGTTGTGTCTCCCAGCACAGTTTTAAGAGCACGCAAGAGATACCAGGAGACAGGCCGTTACATGAGGAGAGCTGGACAGGGACGTAGAAGGGCAACAACCCAGCAGCAGCACCGGTATCTGCTACTTTGTACGGGGAGGAATAGGATGAGCACTGCCAGAGCCCTACAGAATGACATTCAGCAGGCTATAGGTGTGCATGTTTCGGATCAAACTGTCAGAATCAGACTTTATTAGGGTGGAATAAGGGCCCGATGTCCTGTAGTGGGACCTGTGCTCACAACTCAGCACAATGCAGCTCGATTGGCATTTGCCAGAGAACACCAGAATTGGTAGGTTCGTCATTGCCATCCTGCTCTCTTCACTGATGAGAGCAGGTTCACACTGAGCATATGTGACAGATGTGAAAGAGTCTGGCGATGCCGTGGGGAACATTATGTTGCATGCAACATCATCCAGCATGACTGGTTTGGCAGTGGTCTGGGGAGGTATATCTGTGGAGGATTACACAGACCTCCACATGTTAGCCAATGGTTCCCTTACTGCTGTTAGGTACCGGGATGAAATCCTCAGAGCCGCTGTCAGACCTTACGCTGGTGCAGAGGGCCTTGGGTTCCTCCTGGTGCATGATAATGCCTGGCCTCAGTGGCTAGAGTGTGCAGTTTTTAGATGACACTGGCATTGATGCAATTGACTGGCCCTCACGTTCCCCAGACTTGAAACCAATTGAGAACCTCTTGGATATTATGTATCGGAGCATCCGATGTTGCTGTGATGCACTTCATGCTAGTTGGATCAGCCTGTAACTTTAGTTTTTTACATTGATTTTTGGTGTGATTTTGAATCCAACCTTCAGTGTGTTGATGATTTTGGTTTCCATTGACTGTTGTCACATACAGAATGTATATAATTGAAGATTTTTAAATTGAAAATTTAATTCATTGAGATCCAATGTGTGATTTAAGTGTTCCCTTCGGTCGGTCATTTTTGACCAGTAAAGCTAAGATCAATAAGCTATTGTTAATAACAAACATTCAGTATCAAAATTAAATACAAAACCAGTCCTAATTGAAGGAAAACTTATTGACCAAAAAAACTGAATCCCATTTTTGGTGATAATAGAGAACAACAAGAGATTTATAAGCTATTTTTGGTAGGCTGGTTGATAGAGGCTTGGTCATTTTTGACCAAGAACACCACAAGTGTTCTTTTGTGCTATTTTTTTTTACAAGATATAAGCATTTCAAAACAATTTCTTAGTTATACATTAGAGCATGCTAATGTGAAAAACAGTGCAATTTTTTTTTTCATATTTTATTTAATATTGACAAAATTATCCACAAATATGGCTTTTTTCACTCAAAAACTGACGTAAGCTGATATAAATCAGTTCCAAAAATAATCACAAATCCAGTCCTAATTGAAAGAAAACAAGCTCACAAAAAGATTGATACCAATATTAGGTGATAATATTGCATAACACGAGATTTATAGGCTATTTTTTGTAGGCCGGTCATTTTTTACCGGGAATACCACAAGTGTAACAAGGTTGAATAAAATAAAAAATGTTTAACGAAAATTAAATTTTTTTGCAGTGGAAGTAGTTGAACCCTGTGTAAACAAAGTCAGTAAATCTTTGTCCAAAAAGACCCAAACACAACCTGAGGGTTAAAGTAAAATCTTTAAAGAAATCATGAGTGTAGTATTACTGATGTATATACTGTATATATATATTTTTTTTTGTAGAATGAAATGAGGCAGTACCTGTAACCCAGTCAGGTTGCACAGGTAGTCCAGCTCCTCCAGGATGGCACGTCCATACGTGCCATCATGAGGAAGTTTGTTGTGTCTCCCAGCACAGTTTTAAGAGCACGCAAGAGATACCAGGAGACAGGCCGTTACATGAGGAGAGCTGGACAGGGACGTAGAAGGGCAACAACCCAGCAGCAGCACCGGTATCTGCTACTTTGTACGGGGAGGAATAGGATGAGCACTGCCAGAGCCCTACAGAATGACATTCAGCAGGCTATAGGTGTGCATGTTTCGGATCAAACTGTCAGAATCAGACTTTATTAGGGTGGAATAAGGGCCCGATGTCCTGTAGTGGGACCTGTGCTCACAACTCAGCACAATGCAGCTCGATTGGCATTTGCCAGAGAACACCAGAATTGGTAGGTTCGTCATTGCCATCCTGCTCTCTTCACTGATGAGAGCAGGTTCACACTGAGCATATGTGACAGATGTGAAAGAGTCTGGCGATGCCGTGGGGAACATTATGTTGCATGCAACATCATCCAGCATGACTGGTTTGGCAGTGGTCTGGGGAGGTATATCTGTGGAGGATTACACAGACCTCCACATGTTAGCCAATGGTTCCCTTACTGCTGTTAGGTACCGGGATGAAATCCTCAGAGCCGCTGTCAGACCTTACGCTGGTGCAGAGGGCCTTGGGTTCCTCCTGGTGCATGATAATGCCTGGCCTCAGTGGCTAGAGTGTGCAGTTTTTAGATGACACTGGCATTGATGCAATTGACTGGCCCTCACGTTCCCCAGACTTGAAACCAATTGAGAACCTCTTGGATATTATGTATCGGAGCATCCGATGTTGCTGTGATGCACTTCATGCTAGTTGGATCAGCCTGTAACTTTAGTTTTTTACATTGATTTTTGGTGTGATTTTGAATCCAACCTTCAGTGTGTTGATGATTTTGGTTTCCATTGACTGTTGTCACATACAGAATGTATATAATTGAAGATTTTTAAATTGAAAATTTAATTCATTGAGATCCAATGTGTGATTTAAGTGTTCCCTTCGGTCGGTCATTTTTGACCAGTAAAGCTAAGATCAATAAGCTATTGTTAATAACAAACATTCAGTATCAAAATTAAATACAAAACCAGTCCTAATTGAAGGAAAACTTATTGACCAAAAAAACTGAATCCCATTTTTGGTGATAATAGAGAACAACAAGAGATTTATAAGCTATTTTTGGTAGGCTGGTTGATAGAGGCTTGGTCATTTTTGACCAAGAACACCACAAGTGTTCTTTTGTGCTATTTTTTTTTACAAGATATAAGCATTTCAAAACAATTTCTTAGTTATACATTAGAGCATGCTAATGTGAAAAACAGTGCAATTTTTTTTTTCATATTTTATTTAATATTGACAAAATTATCCACAAATATGGCTTTTTTCACTCAAAAACTGACGTAAGCTGATATAAATCAGTTCCAAAAATAATCACAAATCCAGTCCTAATTGAAAGAAAACAAGCTCACAAAAAGATTGATACCAATATTAGGTGATAATATTGCATAACACGAGATTTATAGGCTATTTTTTGTAGGCCGGTCATTTTTTACCGGGAATACCACAAGTGTAACAAGGTTGAATAAAATAAAAAATGTTTAACGAAAATTAAATTTTTTTGCAGTGGAAGTAGTTGAACCCTGTGTAAACAAAGTCAGTAAATCTTTGTCCAAAAAGACCCAAACACAACCTGAGGGTTAAAGTAAAATCTTTAAAGAAATCATGAGTGTAGTATTACTGATGTATATACTGTATATATATATTTTTTTTTGTAGAATGAAATGTAAAAATGTTTTGAGTTTGTGTTAACCACAGACCTTTTTCAGGCATTTAACCTAATACCCATTCAAAAAACGTATTGACTTCAGGACAGTGGAAAGCTTAAGTGCCTACAAAAATACCATCCCTGCAGTACCCTACAGCAGCCATACTGTACACTATTTCATGTTATGACCACCCAGCTGCTCCTGGTTAAGATGAAACCCCAGATTTACATGAAAGAGATATGTAGAATGAAATGTAAAAATGTTTTGAGTTTGTGTTAACCACAGACCTTTTTCAGGCATTTAACCTAATACCCATTCAAAAAAACGTATTGACTTCAGGACAGTGGAAAGCTTAAGTGCCTACAAAAATACCATCCCTGCAGTACCCTACAGCAGCCATACTGTACACTATTTCATGTTATGACCACCCAGCTGCTCCTGGTTAAGATGAAACCCCAGATTTACATGAAAGAGATATAAGTTATATCATTTGTCGGTTTAATGTGTCTCAACTGGTTAGAACATGGTGTAAGACTTTTTTTACACATACCTTATCCCTCGGCTTCCCTCACAGGTGACAATCTGGGAGGCTTTGACCAACAGTAAACCAGGAGCACAGCCTCTGTCCTGTGACCCCAACCGGCACGAAAGGTCTGCAGTCAGTATTCTGCTTCTACTATCTCCTGTAGTCACATCTCACCCACAATAGGCAAGGACAGCGTCACACTCTCACATCACATTTACTGGAGCTATTGACACAGGCTTGACTGTCAATACATCCTCAGTGAAGCTCATAGAAATTCACTAGGGTTTTCATCTCTCTCTCCTCACCTTCGTTTGCTCTTTATGGAGTTTTAAAGCAGATTGAGATGCCCTGTCCGTGGCAGCCGACATGAATCCGAAACGGTCGCTTCACCTCATTATTCTTTTAGGTTTCACTTTTAGAACAGGACGCACAGATAATCTCTAGTTTTAAAGTCACACACACATCGATTGAAAGTGACAAAAAAGACATTTATAATGATACAAAAAAAATTATATTTCAAATAAATGCTCTTCCTTTGAACTTTATATGCATCAAAGAATCCACAAAGGTTTCCACAAAAATATTAAACAGAACAATTGTTTTCAACATTGATGATAATAAGAAATGTTTCTTTAGCAGTGAATCAGCATATTAGAATAATTTCTGAAGGATCATGTGACACAAAAGACCGGAGTAGTAGCTGCTGAAAATTCCGCTTTGCCATCACAGAAATAAATTACATTTAAAAAAATTTTTAAATGAAAAACAATTTAAATTGTAATAATAAATCAACTCTTAAATTGCTGATTTTACTGTTGTCAAGAAGACAATTTTCTGTTAGCAGAGGTCTCAGTCACTTCTTTTCTTCTCCATAACCCAGAACCCCACAGCACAAACCCAGCCCCGTGGAGAGCCCTCGCAGCACACCGACCAATAAACCACCGCGCAGCTACGACGAGCAGCTGCGTCTAGCCATGGCGCTGTCCGCCCGTGAACAGGAAGAGATGGAGCTACGTCAAAGACGAGAGGAAGAGGAACTGCAGCGTATCATACAGCTGTCACTCATGGAGAAGTGATAGGGCTAGTGGGAACCGAGGGGTGGGAGAGCATGTCTAGGGATCTGGAACTAACTACGATTGGCCACTCCCAAATGCCCCACCCCTTCTTCCAAAGAACTGGATAAAATGGGCCACTCTATGGTCCCATCTGAGTCGTTCAGAATCACAGAGAAACCTCTGTCTTCACTGCAAGTTTACAAACACAAAGTACCAAACTCATGGCAAGCCACTGACTGATCAGCACCGGTCTGGTCTCCTAATGTGTGAATGTGCATTTATGACTGAGACAGTCCACGCTGCGTATCTTGGCGTCGTTTCAAAAAGCCATCATCTGAGCACTTGCCTAGAGTTCTCACAGACTCACCCATAGGTGTGAGTTCTGGGGGATTCTTGTCACTTTTTTCAGTTTTATGTTTTGAACGTAAAGTACTTTAATTTGGTTGTTAATACACTTCAGATTTCCTGCACTTGGATTGAGGAGCCATGATGTCTCCTAATAGAAAGAGAGAGGGCGCTTACACACAAAAGTTCAAGCTGCAACTCCATCCGTCTTGATGGGAATGCTGCATTCAAAAAACATACAAAGATTTGCAAAAGTGACACTTCCATTATACAACCAAAGTTGTTTAATTACATCTTTTGGTTAATGTCATTGCGTTAATCGCTGTACTTTGAGGATCTCAGACAGGAGGGTCTTCAAAAAATTTATTTTGATGTATTCCCATTTGATTCTGAAACTAAAGACCTGTTCACACTAGCGTGAATGTTCGGCATGAAAATTTGTCTGTTCAGACCAATGCAAAAAAAAAGATGCGTTAAATGAAAATGAAAGTAGGTGGTGATTATGGAAAAGCAGAAATAACCGGGTACAGGGGAGCAGTGATGCGTAATTTTGAATTTTCGACAACTGCCTGTCATGGAAGTTTTAGAGAAGGTGCTCGCTGCTTGGCGTCAAGCTCCACCACTCTGGGTGTAATAGGTGGGACTTTAAAGTCTAACCACACCCTAACCCTAACCATAACTAGGTCGAGCTCCACCCATTTGACCCTGCAGTGACCACCGCTTGGAGATTTGTGCAACAGCAGTGGCCCCAGGCACATTACCAAAAGCGTGAATCTTGGTTGGCCATAGTAGCATGATGGAAAAGAGATTAGAATATCTCTCTTTAAATATATATATATATATATATATATATATATATAGGATATTAACAGCCATTTGCTCACAGTCAAATTTCTTTCTAACCCTAAAAACGGATTTGGCGCAATCCTGTCAGTACACTTTTTCTAGTGTGTAAGCGCCCTAAAGTGACCACCAAACTGCGTTATGACAGAAGGTTGGCAGCAACCCTCTGTGCACTGTTAACTGCATGATTTTTAATTATTAGCCAGATTGATAATTCAAACACTGGAGAAATTATTGTACGTTAATGGTTCACTTTTTTCAGGTAAATTGAAGTTTATGACTAAATGATTCCTTTGAATCTGAATCAAATGCTCATTGCAATATTCATTATTTGTGTCCTAAATGCACTTTTCACAAAAACAACACATTATTCGCATACAACAGTGTGTGTGCTCTACTTCAAATGGTGCTAAGTTGATCTTTCATATTAACTCGTGGGTATGTTAATCAGCGTAATTGTCACGACATGCATTCATCCGTCTGTTCAATCACTTGACAACGTTTCTTTCCTGGCCTCCATTTAGAGCTTCCTTCAACATTACCATCAGAGCTCATTGTCTCATGACTGGAACACCTGCGGTAGCTAATCAAAAATCTAATTGTGCTTTCATAAGGGGTGCCAGTTCTGGAATAAAACATGAAAGGAGGAATCACTCACAGAGATAATGCCCTGAGCGAAGACGAAGCGGAACGTTTTATTGGAGAATCTTAAAATAGATGTTTCTCCTTAGTCAGATTTATTCTGGGCCTGAGTGACGTGCCCTCAGGGTTTGATGTTATCAGGTGAATCTGAAAAACAAATTAGGAAACATGGCCATACTCAACATCTGAAAAGCTTCAACGTTAAAGCACAAGGGATTAAGCGTCAGTTTTCAAAGATCTGATGAAGGTGTCTGGAGACAAGAGCTCCTAAAAAACACATAGGTTTGATCTTCTGATTGTGCGACTCATGAATGCTGGGTTCAGTCATTAAGAGATGCTTGATATGACAGGAAAACATTATATGAGCATTATTTATATTTAACCTTTTTTATTTTTTGACTTTGGTTGATGCTGTGATTTGTGTGGTGTGCTGCTGTTGTGTTTGTATGTGACTGAAATATATTGTTCACATTTGTAACTTAAAGGCATTCTGAATAAAGGATATCTAAATTAACATGAATTTCAAACGACGTGAATGAATGTCATTAACTTAAGTTTGTGGTTTTAAAAACGAAGGTCGTGTGCTTGATCAAACTGCAACAAGGTGCATGTACCATGGTATTTTTTGAAAGTAGGCTACCTTGGACCACCATGGCATTATCATGGTGCGGCCATAGTACTGTTTTGGTCATATACGCGCACAAAGTTTTATTTTAATTTTCTGTTTTTTATTTTACTTTTAGTTAGCTTTTATTTCCGTTCAATAGTCATCAGTGATTAGCATGCATCACTGGAAACAAGAGACTGCTAAATTACCAATAATTGTGTTGTATTCATATAGGCCTGCTAAATATATGTATCATTCCTTCTAAAAATTATAAGTAAAACTTTCCATAAGAAGGTTCAAACATAATTTAAAAAATGGCTTGGTGTCATTTGCAAAAGTCTTCAAACACCTTCATTCCCATGATTATTTTGGGACTATCGGGGGAGTGTTTTAAGCATGGCCGTGCCGTTTCCAGTATGAATCAGCAGTCTAGAGGAAGCTTTGGCTGTGATGAGTCAACCCCAGTGAATAATATTAATCAGTCAGTCGGTGCAGGTACTGTGACGAGAATATTCATACATAATAGTCACTGGTCTCAGATGGAGTTAAAAATGGATTCCTGTGAAACAGACTATGCTTAGTCTCTCATTACGGTTTCTCTAATATGCATCAAGGGTGTGCTAAGTAAACAGAAATGCAATATAATGGCCACAAAAAGATGTTACAAGTTAGTTTACAGGCCTTTGACTGTAGAATATTTCAGATTGCTTAATGCAGGATACCATTATTAGCATCCCCATAACTTGGCTTGGTTAAACACTATAATCCTCTTTTTAAATCACTTCAATTACAAGAAACGGCCGAATATTACAATAATGCTTAAAGGCATGCATGTAGTGCAGAATGCAGTCCCCAAACAATCACAACAGAGCATTACATCATACTGTAGTACTGCTTCTCACCACATTGTGGCGCTATCGTTCAAACAGCACATTTCACTGAAAGAGAGATTAAAGATTTCTCTCTAGCTCAGATGATGATAATAATAATAAACAAATTAATAATACAATATTAATAATAATTACCATCACCACTACTAAAATACCTTGTAAAATTTTCATCTTAAAAGGCACAATGTAAGATTTTTTTTTAATTAAAATATCCAAAAACCACTAGAACAGTGCTATATATTTTGCTGACTTGAGTACTTGCATTATCCTAAATGTTTTGAAGAATGTTCAAATCGAGAGAAATAAGCAATTTAACTAGTGACACGGACCGTGTCCATGGTGTCATTGTGTCGCCTGCCAATGACGTCATAACCCCTCGATTTCTGGTTTTGTTTTGTACAAAACATGGAAACACCAAAGACGCTTTAATATGTTGTGCGTTTTAATAGACCAGTAACGACCGCAAAGAGTACCATTATAACAGAACTTTCAACGTATCTAGTATGATAAAACAGCGCTGCTTTTTCCCCCCCCACATACGCACGACCGGAAGGAGCGGAAGCGGTCGACTGTGGCATAATAAAAGCACCGCTGCTTTCGAGTCGTGTGTCACGCTCATTCAGCGGCCTCGTATTGCTTCGACGTCTTTCAGCCTCACCCTGCTTCATTCTTCAACTGCTTCACGTTAATAAATCATTAGCTCATCCATGAACATGATTTCTGCCCGAGTCCCGTCGGATTGCATCGGCTGTGGGGATGAAGACCACAACTCCCATGATTCCACACTTAGTCACGGCGTCTTCAAACTACGCCTTTGTCTATTTGATTATTTTGAATATGCACCCGCTAGCAGCGAAAATTACATATTGTGCCTTTAATCTTAAAAACGTATAAAATCCTGAAAATGTATTGATTAGATACTTGATGTATTAACCTGTCTACAGAATGAATGACTTAATTAAAATAATTAAAATAGTGCAGTTTTATTTTATAATAGTCACAGCTAAAGCACAGGATAAAAAAAAAAGTTGATCAAGTTTACCTTGGTTTCAAACAGAATCATGACTCCACATGCTGTCAGACATACAGTCAACTCTACCGTTCAAGCCAGTGCAAAAATATTCAAATAAAATAAAAAATCTAAAAAAACAATAAAAAAGAATAAGTAAAACTTTCCATAAAAAGGTTCAAACATAATTTAAAAAATGGCTTGGTGTCATTTGCAAAAGTCTTCAAACACCTTAATTCCCATGATTATTTTGGGACTATCGGGGGAGTGTTTTAAGCATGGCCGTGCCGTTTCCAGTATGAATCAGCAGTCTAGAGGAAGCTTTGGCTGTGATGAGTCAACCCCAGTGAATAATATTAATCAGTCAGTCGGTGCAGGTACTGTGACGAGAATATTCATACATAATAGTCACTGGTCTCAGATGGAGTTAAAAATGGATTCCTGTGAAACAGACTATGCTTAGTCTCTCATTACGGTTTCTCTAATATGCATCAAGGGTGTGCTAAGTAAACAGAAATGCAATATAATGGCCACAAAAAGATGTTACAAGTTAGTTTACAGGCCTTTGACTGTAGAATATTTCAGATTGCTTAATGCAGGATACCATTATTAGCATCCCCATAACTTGGCTTAAACAGACTATGCTTAGTCTCTCATTACGGTTTCTCTAATATGCATCAAGGGTGTGCTAAGTAAACAGAAATGCAATATAATGGCCACAAAAAGATGTTACAAGTTAGTTTACAGGCCTTTGACTGTAGAATATTTCAGATTGCTTAATGCAGGATACCATTATTAGCATCCCCATAACTTGGCTTAGTTAAACACTATAATCCTCTTTTTAAATCACTTCAATTACAAGAAATGGCCGAATATTACAATAATGCTTAAAGGCATGCATGTAGTGCAGAATGCAGTCCCCAAACAATCACAACAGAGCATTACATCATACTGTAGTACTGCTTCTCACCACATTGTGGCGCTATCGTTCAAACAGCACATTTCACTGAAAGAGAGATTAAAGATTTCTCTCTAGCTCAGATGATGATAATAATAATAAACAAATTAATAATACAATATTAATAATAATTACCATCACCACTACTAAAATACCTTGTAAAATTTTCATCTTAAAAGGCACAATGTAAGATTTTTTTTTAATTAAAATATCCAAAAACCACTAGAACAGTGCTATATATTTTGCTGACTTGAGTACTTGCATTATCCTAAATGTTTTGAAGAATGTTCAAATCGAGAGAAATAAGCAATTTAACTAGTGACACGGACCGTGTCCATGGTGTCATTGTGTCGCCTGCCAATGACGTCATAACCCCTCGATTTCTGGTTTTGTTTTGTACAAAACATGGAAACACCAAAGACGCTTTAATATGTTGTGCGTTTTAATAGACCAGTAACGACCGCAAAGAGTACCATTATAACAGAACTTTCAACGTATCTAGTATGATAAAACAGCGCTGCTTTTTCCCCCCCCACATACGCACGACCGGAAGGAGCGGAAGCGGTCGACTGTGGCATAATAAAAGCACCGCTGCTTTCGAGTCGTGTGTCACGCTCATTCAGCGGCCTCGTATTGCTTCGACGTCTTTCAGCCTCACCCTGCTTCATTCTTCAACTGCTTCACGTTAATAAATCATTAGCTCATCCATGAACATGATTTCTGCCCGAGTCCCGTCGGATTGCATCGGCTGTGGGGATGAAGACCACAACTCCCATGATTCCACACTTAGTCACGGCGTCTTCAAACTACGCCTTTGTCTATTTGATTATTTTGAATATGCACCCGCTAGCAGCGAAAATTACATATTGTGCCTTTAATCTTAAAAACGTATAAAATCCTGAAAATGTATTGATTAGATACTTGATGTATTAACCTGTCTACAGAATGAATGACTTAATTAAAATAATTAAAATAGTGCAGTTTTATTTTATAATAGTCACAGCTAAAGCACAGGATAAAAAAAAAAGTTGATCAAGTTTACCTTGGTTTCAAACAGAATCATGACTCCACATGCTGTCAGACATACAGTCAACTCTACCGTTCAAGCCAGTGCAAAAATATTCAAATAAAATAAAAAATCTAAAAAAACAATAAAAAAGAAAAACGAGAGTAAAGTGCATGTTTTATGAAACGCTTTTTAAATCACTTCAATTACAAGAAATGGCCGAATATTACAATAATGCTTAAAGGCATGCATGTAGTGCAGAATGCAGTCCCCAAACAATCACAACAGAGCATTACATCATACTGTAGTACTGCTTCTCACCACATTGTGGCGCTATCGTTCAAACAGCACATTTCACTGAAAGAGAGATTAAAGATTTCTCTCTAGCTCAGATGATGATAATAATAATAAACAAATTAATAATACAATATTAATAATAATTACCATCACCACTACTAAAATACCTTGTAAAATTTTCATCTTAAAAGGCACAATGTAAGATTTTTTTTTAATTAAAATATCCAAAAACCACTAGAACAGTGCTATATATTTTGCTGACTTGAGTACTTGCATTATCCTAAATGTTTTGAAGAATGTTCAAATCGAGAGAAATAAGCAATTTAACTAGTGACACGGACCGTGTCCATGGTGTCATTGTGTCGCCTGCCAATGACGTCATAACCCCTCGATTTCTGGTTTTGTTTTGTACAAAACATGGAAACACCAAAGACGCTTTAATATGTTGTGCGTTTTAATAGACCAGTAACGACCGCAAAGAGTACCATTATAACAGAACTTTCAACGTATCTAGTATGATAAAACAGCGCTGCTTTTTCCCCCCCCACATACGCACGACCGGAAGGAGCGGAAGCGGTCGACTGTGGCATAATAAAAGCACCGCTGCTTTCGAGTCGTGTGTCACGCTCATTCAGCGGCCTCGTATTGCTTCGACGTCTTTCAGCCTCACCCTGCTTCATTCTTCAACTGCTTCACGTTAATAAATCATTAGCTCATCCATGAACATGATTTCTGCCCGAGTCCCGTCGGATTGCATCGGCTGTGGGGATGAAGACCACAACTCCCATGATTCCACACTATTATAAGTAAAACTTTCCATAAAAAGGTTCAAACATAATTTAAAAAATGGCTTGGTGTCATTTGCAAAAGTCTTCAAACACCTTAATTCCCATGATTATTTTGGGACTATCGGGGGAGTGTTTTAAGCATGGCCGTGCCGTTTCCAGTATGAATCAGCAGTCTAGAGGAAGCTTTGGCTGTGATGAGTCAACCCCAGTGAATAATATTAATCAGTCAGTCGGTGCAGGTACTGTGACGAGAATATTCATACATAATAGTCACTGGTCTCAGATGGAGTTAAAAATGGATTCCTGTGAAACAGACTATGCTTAGTCTCTCATTACGGTTTCTCTAATATGCATCAAGGGTGTGCTAAGTAAACAGAAATGCAATATAATGGCCACAAAAAGATGTTACAAGTTAGTTTACAGGCCTTTGACTGTAGAATATTTCAGATTGCTTAATGCAGGATACCATTATTAGCATCCCCATAACTTGGCTTAGTTAAACACTATAATCCTCTTTTTAAATCACTTCAATTACAAGAAATGGCCGAATATTACAATAATGCTTAAAGGCATGCATGTAGTGCAGAATGCAGTCCCCAAACAATCACAACAGAGCATTACATCATACTGTAGTACTGCTTCTCACCACATTGTGGCGCTATCGTTCAAACAGCACATTTCACTGAAAGAGAGATTAAAGATTTCTCTCTAGCTCAGATGATGATAATAATAATAAACAAATTAATAATACAATATTAATAATAATTACCATCACCACTACTAAAATACCTTGTAAAATTTTCATCTTAAAAGGCACAATGTAAGATTTTTTTTTAATTAAAATATCCAAAAACCACTAGAACAGTGCTATATATTTTGCTGACTTGAGTACTTGCATTATCCTAAATGTTTTGAAGAATGTTCAAATCGAGAGAAATAAGCAATTTAACTAGTGACACGGACCGTGTCCATGGTGTCATTGTGTCGCCTGCCAATGACGTCATAACCCCTCGATTTCTGGTTTTGTTTTGTACAAAACATGGAAACACCAAAGACGCTTTAATATGTTGTGCGTTTTAATAGACCAGTAACGACCGCAAAGAGTACCATTATAACAGAACTTTCAACGTATCTAGTATGATAAAACAGCGCTGCTTTTTCCCCCCCCACATACGCACGACCGGAAGGAGCGGAAGCGGTCGACTGTGGCATAATAAAAGCACCGCTGCTTTCGAGTCGTGTGTCACGCTCATTCAGCGGCCTCGTATTGCTTCGACGTCTTTCAGCCTCACCCTGCTTCATTCTTCAACTGCTTCACGTTAATAAATCATTAGCTCATCCATGAACATGATTTCTGCCCGAGTCCCGTCGGATTGCATCGGCTGTGGGGATGAAGACCACAACTCCCATGATTCCACACTTAGTCACGGCGTCTTCAAACTACGCCTTTGTCTATTTGATTATTTTGAATATGCACCCGCTAGCAGCGAAAATTACATATTGTGCCTTTAATCTTAAAAACGTATAAAATCCTGAAAATGTATTGATTAGATACTTGATGTATTAACCTGTCTACAGAATGAATGACTTAATTAAAATAATTAAAATAGTGCAGTTTTATTTTATAATAGTCACAGCTAAAGCACAGGATAAAAAAAAAAGTTGATCAAGTTTACCTTGGTTTCAAACAGAATCATGACTCCACATGCTGTCAGACATACAGTCAACTCTACCGTTCAAGCCAGTGCAAAAATATTCAAATAAAATAAAAAATCTAAAAAAACAATAAAAAAGAAAAACGAGAGTAAAGTGCATGTTTTATGAAACGGCCCCCTTGTTTGAATTGCTACCTGAAAACTGACATATATTCACTCACTCACACATGCCCTCATTCACACCTACAGTAGCATACAAATTTAGCTTAGACTTCACTGAATGAAACTTGAACTGGTTGTAGTCGAAGATTGTCCTTCATGCCGACAAAAATCAGCATGTGAAAGTTCATGGTCACATGGTGTTATACAAAACAGTGATTGTCTTTTTCTTGTCCAACGCTTTGCGGAAACGACGAACGGGGTGAGTCTTCACATGTTGTTGTTGTTGTTGTCGCGTGGACACAGAAACTGTGGGCTGGACTGGGGTGTGTTCAGGGGGACTGGCTCCACCCACTTGAGTTTGCTGTGGGCATGAGCTTGAGAGGTGGGCTGAGCCTTCAGTCCTGCCCACCTCCATCAAATGAACGGCGGAATCAGGGGCAGAAGGGTTCTGAGGTAGAACACGCTGCTTTTTATGGGCATCGTCATGGCTGTTGGTCAGTGGCAAGGAGTGAAAGGTGGATAAAGAGGAAGAGGTGGGTTGATTAAACCCTGTGGTAGCCGGGTGGAAGTCCCAGTTGCTTAAGTCATTAGTTGACAGCTCTAGCTGGTCCAGTTTAGCAAGTGAGGCAGAGCGTTTCATGAGCGAAGGAGGGGTGAGACCAGCCTGTCTAATGCGGGCCTCAATTTCCATGGCTCTCTGCCACATCGCAGGTGCTTTGGGCTGCGTGCGCTGCTCCCCATCTATCGAGTCCTGCTTGTCCTCATGTGACTGGTTCTCCTCAACTTGTCCAGTGCACAACCCCAATCCTCCAGCCTCGTATAAAAATGCCTGGAGCTCTCGAAGAGTCTCCTGGATCTTCTGCAAGTCTTCATTGCTATGTGCCAGTCGGACATGGGGCCTCAATGGGTCGTCTACGTCAGTCTCCAGCTCGGTCACACCTTCTAGCCACAACAGAGAGGAAGAACCAGAGCTGTGCTCAAGAGTGGGGTTCAAAGTGATCTGGTCGGCCTCCATTGAAATCCTCTCTTCAAGATAGACCGAGAAGGAAGGATCAGGGATTATACCAGAGTCCTCATCATCAAGCACTTTGGTGTCATCTACGGTTCCATCTGTAGCCTTTTGGGACTCAATGCAGGTCAGAGCTGCAGTGCCCTCTGGCTTACTGGAGTAAGATCGTGGCTCTGAACAGTCCAAACATGGGGAAGGAAGAGGAGACCAAGAGCAAGGAACCTCTTGACCCTGACGTAGTATAAGCTCCAACTGCTCAGTGGCCCGGCGCACAGATCCTGAGGGCCTGTCGGTGGGAGAATGAGGAACTGAAGCCGTTTCCTCATCCACCTCCTCCAGTGTAGCAGTTTGAGGGGAGTTACGTGCCATTGGCGGACTGCAGGTGTGTGATATGGATTCCAGTTCAGTAACTATATTACGCACACACACACTGTTGTCGTTGTGAGGGAGGTGGGGCACTGCATCTCTATTGGTCTCTGAATGGGTGTGGCACTAGGAAGGAGAAATGCAGAAATATTGATTACAAGAGGTAACTGCATTGTTCCATTTCACTCTCAATAAAGAGAGCTTACCACATTAAAGGGGTCATATGATGCGATTTCAAGTTTTTCTTTCTCTTTGGAGTGTTACAAGCTGTTCGTGAATAGATAAGATCCCTAAAGTTGCAAAGATTAAAGTCTCAAACCCAAAGAGATATTCTTTATAAAAGTTAAGACTGGTCCACGCCCTCCTAAAACGCCTCGTTTAAACACGCCCCCACATGTCTACGACACGATGTGGGAAGATTTGCATAACGCTGCCCTTTGCATATGCGACTAAATCAAACAATCTCATTGGCTGGTGCTCACTTATTATCGTCCCTCATTTTATTTCAGCAAATCCGTTCGAGCGAACGCACACAACCTGATTAAAATTCATGAATCCAGCAGCTCTTCTTAGTAGAATTCGTATCATTATTATCAGTATTTTTCCCAATTTTTTTTTTCCAGAAACACTGAATGACCAAAAAAGCACCATCACCAGTCCAGTTAAAATGTTCAGATAAAATGACTAATGGCGCTTTTCCACTGCGTGGCACGGCTCAATACGGCACGACACGGCACGGTTCGGCTCGGCACGGTTTGCGTTTCCACTGCAGTTCAGTACCGCTTTAGAGTGGGTGGGATTATTCACATGTCGTTATAGTTGCGCCGCCTCCAATACCACGACTCCTAAAAAAATTAACTTTTTCATTCCATGTCGCCCCATCAAGCTCTCGCTGGATCCGCTCCTCTGCTATCTACGAGAGGAAAGTCTGTGCTACCGCAACAGACAACAAAACTTTTTGGTTGTTAAAAAAAGGTGCGCTCGTTCAAAACAGTTGCGTTCAATCCTTCGCTGGCTGTGCTAATTTAAATCTAGCAGTTCTTTTGTGTTTGTGTCGCAACTTCAGTGACGCAGGTAGTGACGATTCTCTCCGGCCAATCTAAGAGTGTACTTTCAGATATTTAAAAAACTGTGCCATTTTACAAACATTTATTATATACACACACACACATATATATGTCTGTCTGGCGAGTGAACTAAAAAATTTACTAGCCAATAGCGATTCAATTGCCAAAGTGTCCGTAGAGGGTTGTAAAAAGACAGTATAAGTTGTTATAATCCGTAATTATGTCCCCACTGGATGCAACAAATGCCTCGTTCAGAGAATTAAAATAGTTTTTTTTTGCTTTGTTTTGAAAAAATTGAAAGCCCAAATTTTGTTTTTTTGTGTTCACAGAAGTCAGTCAGTGTTTTTGTCAGGTTTTGAATGACATGAGGGTGAGTAAATGACAACAAAATGTCATTTTTGAACTGTCCCTTTAAGTGCAATTCTAGGGTAAACCACCAGGAGGCAGTGTTGTACTGTGTCACTTGCCTATAGTTCTTGTATCATTTACTGATTAATAAATGAGTCAATCCCATTCATGTTTTATTATTTATCTTTCGACATGACAAATCAGGAAGTGCAATGATCTCTGAAGTGAGTGCCAACTCTTACCTCAACAGCTTCCTCACTGTAATCATCCAAGGGTGGGGTGCATCTGGATTGAGGTGACAAGACAGCGGCCGTTTCAGAAAATGAGCGAGGCTGACTATCCTGGGACAGGCAGAGGAATTTCTCTCTGGCGCTAAAGAAGTCAATGCTATCTGTGCTAAGGCAGGACATGCCAGCATCCACAAAGTCATCTGCTGTTCTCAGATCTGCAGTCCTGGGGTTGTTGTTATCATCACTGGAGTCCAGCCCGGGTACCGCAGAGGCTCCTGAGGGGCTGTCAGCCTCGGGCATGCTTGAAGGCGGCAGATTCCCTTCATCTTTACTGACAGCACTTTCCAGACATAGTTCTAAACTTTGTGACACTTGATAAGAGTCATTTTGATCAGGTGTGTTCGGGGACAACTCAACACAGTCTGTTTTTGGCTGAGGCACATGGTGAGATGACTGGGCGTTGAGGTCTGAAGTTGGATCACCCTCTCCCTTCTCTAGTGAAAGAGAAGGAGCAAGGATGTGTAGAACGGGAGGAGGATGGCGACGAGCAACAGGCTCGCTCACTGCGATGTTCAAGCGAGAGTTGTTCGCCATATTCTGCTCAGGCACCACTGTGGCCGCTCGTTGTCTGGGACGAGGCGGGAGGATGGGGTCTTCAAGTGCCAGCTTAGAGGGCAACTCATCCAATTTGGTATGACTGTTGCCTGTAGCAGGCTGTGGATTGGTAAGGGACTCAAGCACAGCAATGCCCAGTATCTGCTGAATGGTAGGAGGACCGTTGTTGTTGTGAGGGTCTGAGCGGTCCAGCGAGTGTGGTGCCTTGCATAGCGGCTCGTGACCCTCCGACAGATCGCTGTCTGAGTGGGAACGCCACAGCTTGTTATGCCTCTGTTTGCTGAAAGAATTAGCAAGCAAAAGATAAAGAAAGAGACCCAAGAGTGTCAGATGAGCATCATTCATTGATGTGATGGAAACATTAAAGGTCGGCTGAATCACTGTGGGTGGTGACCGATCTTTTAAACATACAAAATAGTTCAGGGTGTGTGAATGGGAATACAAACATGAAAGCAAGTATGACAGTAAAAGCTGCACAACAAAAGGAATGTGGAGAGACCTGCATAATATATATGCATAAGATCACAATGGCGACGAAACTCCACGCCATTGATTCAAAATACAAGAGAAATTACTCAATGGAAACTTCAACCTTGCTCTCTGTTGACCTTCTTTTTAGAGAAAAAGTACTGCATGTAAGCCTAAGGTCAATGTGTGTTAGTGCAGCTATTCTTTGGCTCAAAAGGTAAGGGTGTGTGGAATAAAGAGAAATTCAAATAAGCATTCTGACCTAAGGTTCTGTGTGCGTGGCCCATACCTGGCTAGTAGGATACCCTGGTATTCTTCAAGCTGCTTCATGAAGGATGGGTTTGGTTTGGTGACAGAGCGCCGTTCCTTCACATGGTCAAAGGCTCTCTCCAGGTCCCAGCCGTACTCCTTCATAGCATATGCGATCACGGTGGAGGCAGAACGACTCACTCCCATCTTACAGTGCACCAGACACTTCACCCCAGCTTTCCTGGATGACAAGAGATTCTTTAAAGCACACTTCCACAGAAAAGAGACGGCATGGATTGGAATGTCAAAAGCACCAGAACTTCAGAAGCAGTCTTTCTACTTACTTGGCTTTGGAAATGAACTTGTAGGTGTCATTCCAATACTCCAAGAGGTTTGTGGCCTCCTCGTCATACACTCGGATGTTGTGGTACTCGAAAAGCCCGGGGAAGAAATTATCAATCTCCCGCGTCACATTCAGGATGTAGCGAACTCTGAGGAAGTGGGGGTGGTAAAATTAACAATGACTGCATGCAGCCGAGCGGATGTATTTAAAAAAAAAAGAGGCCTGGAATAACAGTCACCTACCCACTGTTTTGGAGCTCCTCAAAATTTGAGGCATTCCACTCTGAACCCTGGAAACACAAACAGAAATCGAATGTTATGGTTGATACTCCTGAAGCAGGGGTATCCAAAATTGCTCCTGGGGGGCCAGTGTCCTGCAGAGATTAGCTCCAACTTGCCCCAACACACCTGCCTAAAAGTTCCTAATATGCCTGAAGACCTTTATTATCTGGTTCAGCTATGTTTAATTGGGGTTATTAACTAATCTCTGCATGCTAGTGGCCCTTCAGGAGCAGGACTGAACAACCCTGTCCTAAAGTCCATAGTAGATTAGTTCTCATCTGTGAGGAGTATAGACAACAGGGTGGGAGACCAACCAGGTAGACGTGGTCAAAGATCTCTGTGGGGCTTTCCATTTGGCCCAGGATGACAATCATCTCATTATCGATGAATTCCTTGAACTCCCGCAGGTTGCAAACCATCTGTATCTCCAGCTCCGTCCGAATCTGGAGAAAAGTTATTATCCAATAGGTTACCAATTTTTTGATGTGAACCTCAAGATTGACCGGTAATATTTAAGACATCAAGATTTTGTTTGATTCTGTTTGTCTTGACTTTGAGATTGCATACAATATGCACAATGGATGTTTGTACCTCTTTTGAAGTGACGTTCTCCAAGTCCTTCTGCATCATGATCTCTCTCAAACGGGTCTTAATGAGTCTCTCTGTGCGCTCTCTCTCAGTTGGCCTGTATACACGAAACCCAGAATCATAAATCACCCAATTTGGTCTCAATGTAAGGTGCGTCTCCCCTCGTATGATTCTTTGTATGCCTGTGTGGTATTGTTCGATTTAGGCTTCACAAAAACCAGAAACCTCAAAACAAAGCCTTTGTTTGATTTAAACAAACAATTTGAAATCAAATCCCAGTTCAGTTGCAGTACGTGCAAATGGTAAATGTGTGTCATCCCTAGGCCTCTGGTGTTGGGTTCACCACGGGACAAGCATCTCTTCAATGATAGCAACACAAGCACTGATTGGCTCCCAAGGGAATGCACTGTGTTCTTCATCCCTACCAGTAACCTTAAAACCACTGCTAATGTAGGTCAACACATTCAGCTGGTGGCTGTGTATATGAGGGCAACAGGTTTGACAATCCGAGGGATGAAAAGCCCCTATGTGGGAAAGTTAAACATGTTTACACATGCCTGTTTGATTGACCTTTCAAGAAAAGAGTGACTAAATCTCAAGTTATGAACTCATTACTTTAGCTGTGTCACTTAATCTAATTCAAATGCATTCAGTGGGCACCATTTCACAGGATGTCTAAAAAGAAAGAAAAAGATCTGCTTCAGTAAAGACCTCTCGAGGAAAACATTATCTCTATGGCTCAACATAGTTGTCCTTGTTTCAGGGTCACAAAGTATCTACTAGATCGACAATTTTCACTCCCCTTCTCAAGCCACCTGTTTCTATCTATCCGCCACTCTACCCATCTATCCGCCCATTTTTCCAACCATAAATAAATCTATCTCAGCGTGGAGCTATAAAAAGCAAGCGGCCACAGTCATGTATTTTAAAAACACATGCATGTGGAAATGCCTCCAACTGTGGGGAAATTCCCCCCTACAGTCCAGGCAACATCTTAGAAGGATTTCACCATCAGGCCACAGTGCATCTAAGCAGTTAGAGTTCATCTCTTCAATTTGGCAATAACATGTCGATCTATTCAGAGAACACCATGCCTCTTTATCTGGCTCCACTGCAAACTTGCCCTCTTGGCCTATACGATTGAACTTTGAGCTTGCATCAGACAGCCGCTTGACCGTATGTGCATGCACGTGTCTCACTTTTCCAAAAACAAGGATTGATTTACAACCCAAACACTGCAATTCACCACTATTGACTGTAGGAGAACTGAAGTTTTGTAAACATCAACTTGGCCCTAAATTTGGAAAGTAATAATAATAATAATAATACCCTTGCTTCATTAGGACATTGACCCATTCGCCACAATACCAAAGCAAAACAAAAAAGTGAGTACTACACAATCATTCAAAAGTTTGGGGTTGGTAAGTTTTTATGCTTTTGAACGAAGTCCATTACGATCACCAAGGCTGCATTTATTTGATCAAAAATGTAATAAAACATTAATATCTTACTGAACAGTAGTGTACATTCGACTGGCATAGGTGTATGTGTTACTCACACGTCGGTGAACAGCACGGGCGAGTCTGCACGGTGGGACTGCACATCTTGCATGGCGTTCCACTCATTGATGCAGTGCTGGTCAGAAGTCACACGGCTCTGATAGTAACTGACCCAGGTCAGGAATAGACTGCCAGGGTAGTAGTTATGACAACGGGCCACCTCGCAAACCTTATGCAGGGACTGCAAGGCTGACCTGTGAGTATGTGTGAGAGAGAAAATTCATTAACACTGTAAAAAAAAAAAAAAAAAAAAAAAAAAAAAAAAAAAAAAAAAAAAAAAAAAAAAAAAAAAACTCTTTTAAAAACAACACTTTTAGTGAATCAAAGACATACAGCCCAACCAGTTATAGTCTGATTCCTGAACAATTGACTCTTTTGAAAGGCGGACCTATGAATATGTGATGAAGAAAAAATTTATTTAACATTAAAAAAAAAAAAAAAAAAAAAAAAAAGTATGACAGTGAAAAAAAGCTGTCCTTATAGGCACTCACCACATGGCTTGCACTGAGACCGGTTTGAATACATGGACTTGGTTAATGGTGGACACACTGAAGCCACTAATGAGAGGGATACAACACATTCAGTCTGAATACTTTGTAAAAGTTGTGTTTAAAAATGCAGAACTTGATTTATGTGTGCACGTTATGCCTCACCCGTCTCCATCCAAGTGTATAAGCGTATCGCTCCACAAGGGTAAAACCAGCCCAACTGTGCAAGTGCTGCAGTAAACACATGATCACATGTTATGAGCGCCACCTTCTAGAGCTGCAAATGCAAAATGAATGTATTAAAGCATCTAAATTATACTGACCTGTCTGAATTGCTAAAGTCCATTCCCAGAACCACACTTTCTTCAGTGTCCTGTCTACCGTTTGTGGAGACGATGACCATGTACCGTGTACGCAGGGCATAAGGACTCTCTAACCGGACAGCCTGTGATAGAGACACGATCAGCATTCTGATGACTGTGTTTTGATTAATTAGGTCTGAATGGTGGTAGTTACCAGGCGGATAGCATCCTCTTGGCGCAGCAGGGTGAACATGGTCTGCAAATGCTGCTGAAGGTCACCTGCGAAGAAACCATCAACAACCTTAAATCTCCCAGATAATAATGATGTGACATTTGCATACTACAGTTGAATTACTCAGAGGTCAATTTCACTTCCTCCCATAAAAGACATATGCTTTGTCAGGCTGGAGTTTGATTAGCACAAGTTTATAAATCATGAATAGAAATATTAAACCAATTGGAGAGTTAAAAACAAGAAAGGTTAATGAGAGTTGCATAGAGCGAGCTCAAATATTTTTTAACCTTATAATCAGCATGAAATGGAAACTGCAATCTTCTAAATTATGACACGTATCGAAATTGCAGTTTCTGAGCCATTTTGACATTTAAAAAAAAATACATACCACTTAATTTGATATTTTTGTTATCTAATGGAATATAATTTAAGTGTGGCAAAAGCACCAACATTTTTTTTGAGGAGAACATTGTATATCATTATATATTTTTGTTAAAAAAAGATTAAAGACTGAAGACTAGAAAAGATTAATAAAATATGTACTATTGCATACTGTATTTTATAATGACGGACAGTTCCTAGGGCCCATTCATAATGCATTCCTGTAAGCTAATGGGTTTCTTAATTAAATCAATGCTGTCTATCTGCAGGCACAGCAGTATGTCTATCAACATGAATGCAAATGCATGCAACAAAAAAATGTTCTTCAGTGTCCTTCATATCCAGGCCAGTCTTACACATTGCCATATGGTACAGCTCAAAGCAAAACTGAAAACAACAGAGACAGATTCCATAACAGATTCCATATAACCATTATATTGAGGTGCATCTGACAGCTGGAGAATCACACAATGAATGTGTCAAGAGAACCTTTCGTGCCGTTTCATACCTGTGTGTTTGTTCCGCCGCTGTGTGATGTGGGGTGCTGAAGAAGGGGAGGAGCCATTCCCCCGCGGGAGGAAGAGGGCGGCACCTTTGACGGTTAGGAAGTTCTCGCTGATACTGATGACAAAAACAGCGATAGAGAGAAAGAATATTTTATTATACATGTTATACTAAAATAGAAAATGTAGTTACATGGTCAACATTTAGATCTTAAATGGTACAGACATCTGGAAGCCACAGAGACACAAAAAATGCTCGCCAACTTGGTATAAAGGACCACCAAACATTCACATACGCGTTTGAGCACTTGCAGAGAACACCAAGAGGCTCAATCTCAGACCTCAAAGTGACATAAAATATGTGAAGGGGCTCACTCTGCATGCGAGAGAGATTGTTTCCAGAAATCACTATGGAGACGCTATTGTTTATCAGCTTGACTGTGGCCTCTGCCCGGCAGAGGCTCGGTAATCAGAGCGGGGAGATGTTTGACCTGTAACAGCTGTCGTTACGAAGCACCTCCTTCAACTCAACACTTACAGCGACCTGAGGTCTCGCTCATAAACTGCTGCTCCTGTATCTCATGCCAAAGGCTTTGGACTTTCCACATCTGACTCGGAAAATACCCTCGAAGTAACTTCTGAGGAATCTGGGTAATTCTGTGGAAGGTCTCAGAATTTTGGGGGAGGAAGGATTGCAGAATTGAGGGAACGCGAAAAGCCCGGGGCAGTCACACCCCGAATAAAAACACAAAGAAAAAAAAACCATCAGGCTCAACTGAGCTCATTTCCCACATCCCAGTCACCCCTGACCCAGCTGTTTCCTCAGTTTTTTGTCTCCTGTCTATCTCATGGCCTCTCTCTTTTACAGTCGGCCCCAGGGTCCAAAACTAACACTTGTTAAGCACAAAATGCAAACAATTAAAAAAAAAAAACACTTTATTAGGACTCAAAACATGTTTTCAAATGATAAAAAAAGACAGTTTTACACTCACTGATGTAAGTGAGAAAAACGCATTTAATACATACAACCACTAAAATTTAAAATATTTGGTCAAAACAATGTGGTTTCATGTTTTTGTAATAAATCTTACTGACTCCTTACTTTTGGGTCTTATTTTAAAGAAAAAAATAATTATTATTTTGCAAATGATGCATTCAACCGATCATAAGCAACAGTTTGAAAGCCATTTATACTAAAAAAAAATTAATTTCAAATAAATGCTGTTCTTTTAAACTGTGTGATAAAATGTTAGATGCAAACAATTAAAAAACAAAAAACACTTTATTAGGACTCAAAACATGTTTTCAAATGATAAAAAAAGACAGTTTTACACTCACTGATGTAAGTGAGAAAAACGCATTTAATACATACAACCACTAAAATTAAAAATATTTGGTCAAAACAATGTGGTTTCATGTTTTTGTAATAAATCTTACTGACTCCTTACTTTTGGGTCTTATTTTAAAGAAAAAAAAACATTTATTTTGCAAATGATGCATTCAACCGATCATAAGCAACAGTTTGAAAGCCATTTATACTAAAAAAAATTAAATTTCAAATAAATGCTGTTCTTTTAAACTGTGTGATAAAATGTTAATTTTGGACCCTGGCTGCCACTAATTTGGCTAAGAGATGCTTTGTGGAATACTTTTATAGGAAGCTCTTGTAGATATGAAAAAACGAAATAAAAACCAAGAGCAAGACAGACAGACAGAGAGTGACAGTTTAGTGCAGTCTCTCTCTTCATGCTCTGCAACTTTGCACTTTCATGCTCGGAGCATCATCTATCAGCACATGAGGGGATATTAGCTGCAGGCTGATACAGGGTAGTGGCTAATTTTACAAACCTATAAATAAACGGCACAGTGAATGAATGCTGATGGACTTTTACAGTGTTGGTAGCTACTGTATACCATCTCATGTAGCCAAACATGATAGCTGAAAGAGCGTTTGGGATTAAACTTTGTAATTTTTTGCAAGATAGCAGAAAGCATGCAAACTGCTTGATTACAACATCAGGGTGTGATAAGGATTATTGACTGTCCGGTAGTTTGCATGTAAAGATTGTAAGTTAAAATATAAATACAAATGCTCAAGTCAATATTTTTTGTTTTCACCCTTTTTAATTCAATTTTGGTCCGGTGGTGTTCCAAATAAATTTTAAAATTTTTAAAGTACAAATATTCCATGTAATCTCTCAATTAATGCTTGTTCATAAAATCTTTGTGCTTAAAAAAAAAAAAAAAGTTAAAAGTTAAATGGATTGAGATGGAGTATTAACACAAATACTTCAGGTTAATTAACAATATTCTGATTGAGATAAGTGCAAAATGCAGTCTACTAAACTCCAAAAGCTTTGACACAACACCATTTCAGTAACATGTAAAGAATATGACCCGGAACGTTGCGCTGGGCTGGTTTTCGCAGAACAAGTAGCACAGTATCCGTGTGCAGGGAGCGGAGAGGGCACTGGGGCCACACGATGCAATTTCCACCCACTGGCATTTCACCAAGGCAGACATGTAAGGGCAAACACATTCACACACGGGAGAAAAAAGAAGAGAATCCAGATGGGTCAGACAGAGGAAACAGATGACCTGCCTCCGCTTGTCTACACACAGTTTAGGGAGAGCGAATGAGAAGAGGGTGGGAGGGTCATCTTTTGGCATGAAGCGCTGGACAGTACTTGCGAGGGCACAGACACAATCATCACTATGTAAGGGACCGTTGAGAGCCATGCAACAAGCTGAAACAAACCTGACCCCCACCTGTCCCTGGCCATATTAGTCACTTTCCCAATAGGGAAGAAGTAAATATAGGCCCGGGCTGAAGGCCTTATGAGTTCAGGCCTGATAGAGATTCAGAGCGAGAGCAGGAGATGGCATTCTGTCACCTTCTGAGATACAAATTAGGCCCCTTGCCACTAATACAGACACATACATGTGTAAATAAACAAAAGGAGAGATGAAGATAGAGGCAGGTTTGGAAACCCCGAATGAGGACAATCAAACACTAGAGCAAAACTCTGACTACAGGTCTAGTTTTTCAAATTAAATGAGACGGCGAGGCACTATTCTGGTTCACAGTCCTGCTTTCTGATTGGTCCACATGGGTGACCAATTGAAGTCATGACTATACTGAGGAAGAGAGCAGGGGGTTCTGGTGAAGGGCCAAAGCAGAGAAGAAATGTCTGTGAATGAGGCCAAAGAGGCCACTTTTTGAACTATGAAAATGTATATTTCAACATTTTCGTGTGTAAGATTGTATTTTCAGTTTAAGCAATGTTTAATTGAAAACGTGTTTCGCCACCCTCTACAAGAAGAGTACAAAATAAGATTAGGTTAGTAGAAATTAAGTCAATTTGGTGAAAGGAGTTGATTGTCAATGAGAAAGTGCTGTCTGTACACCTCAGATGATTTCTGTTTAAAACTAGCTATTTATGTTATGCCATTTTTTTAAATGTTAGAAAATTGTTTATATAGTCTAGTTCTCACTCTCAAAGAACATGGGATTTAGGCTTTTATTGCTTTAAAAAATATTTGGACATCTTTAGCATCCTCTTAGCTTTTTGATGTTTCAACACCATTTCTAAGAGTTAGGAGGAAGCAATTGTACAAAACCAATTACGCCCCATATTTCAACAAACTATATCAGATTTCCCCATGACAATGCCAATTAAGCCCATCAAGTGCATATTTAACTGTACTTGGAAGTTGTTCAACTTCTCTACGTCACTGGATGTTTGAAGTAAAGGCAAGTAAAGCAATTGTGTTTCTCACTGCAAGTTTCCACACACTACTCAACTTCCTTCCAATACATCACACCTGCAATTTCCAGGTTAATCAATAAAACTCGCTGACAAACATAGACCTAACCTTAAGCTTTGTTTGCCTTGGCAGTGTATGAGGAGTAAAGGAGGTTTTTATATGCTTAAATATCAGCATGGGGATTCCCATCAGATATCATCTGCCCTATCTGACGGATCAAAGCAAATTAAAGGTTCACTAAAAATCAAGTTCCTCATGCCTAATGTTTGCAAGATAAAACAGAACTCCACCCCAGCGATCAAGTCTTTCCTATGAAGAGAGTATAAATAACATCAGTACTGATTCCACTGCATAAGGAGAAAAACAGATGCCATAACATAGGGTGAACATACGTGCCATTTTCCCAGGACGCGTCCTGGCCAAGATTTCTATATTGCCTAAAATATCTAGGTTTTTGCTTTGTTTGCGTGTGCAGACCGATCGGTGTATGACATACACATATGGTCACCCTACCGTAACACTACTGATAAATGTCAGGTGACTGCTTAGTCAGTCTAAAAACAAAGCCACATATCTCTGTTCTATGCACTTAAACATAAAAGAAACCAACCGACTGGAGTTTAGGCCTGACTCTAAAGATCTCACAATCTGCTAGTGTACAGCAATTGTACATGCTGTTCATTTTGCGGTTTCAAGCTGTCTGAGGTCTTGACAGCTGTCTTAAAAGCTGTGGTCGAAACTACAGTGTTATGCTATCAGTGTTACAAAAAGCAAACACAAACAACATGCAAACATGAGAGAAAATCAAATTCAGCTATTGACGTAAGAGCTCAGTTTAGCCAGTTAGGTTTGTTGTGAGATCCGCCATCATATTTTCATAATTAATCCTGGAATCTTGCCAGACCACTTACAAATGGCCACATAAATGTCTGTAACAGATATCATATCTACAATCCCCACACAATATGCAAATTTAACTGAGTTCACTTTTTTTGATAATGCTACTAATGCTGGACAGCAAAATTTTGCAGAAGTTGATGCAGCTCATCAAGTTCTGCAAAATTACCTCAATCTATACAATAAATTATGTACTTCATTTTCTTTGGCGTTCCTGAACTTCTGTATAGCCTGAACAATTTGATGCATTTACACTTTGCCAAGTCACATCTTTTGCATGTCTCAAACCACTTCCTGACTTGCACTGCTATCCATTAGAACTTGAAAGCAACTTGGAGAACATTTACACTTTGCATCAAAGTTCAAGTTTACCAAATCAAAAAGTATATGAAATAATTTTGAGGACAAATAAAACTGCTTTGTGTTAATATATTCTGCAATATGAGAAGCGAACACTGACATGGATATGTTTTATTAAACATTTAACTTTAATTAAAATTATACACTATTTTGTGGGCAGTAAGATTATTTTAAAGAATGTAATACTTTTATTCAGCAAAGATGCATTAAATTGATCAAAAGAGACAGTAAAGACACTTCTATTTCAAATAAATGCAGTTCTTTTGAACTTTCCATTCATCAAAGAATCCTGGAAAAAACGTTTCCACAAAAAATATAAAGCAGCACAACTATTTTCAACACTGATAATAATAAAAAATGTCTCTGTAACACCAAATCAGCAAATTAGGATGATTTCTGAAGCATCATGTGACAGTGAAGACTGGAAAAATGGCTGCTAAACATTAATTTTAAAAAGCTGGCACGGTTATAGTAGGACTCCTCAGTTAAGCTCGTCCACAGTTTGGTGAATCACATCTCTCTCCTGTCATCTTTCACAACACACAGTTACGTCACAAAGGCTTGAGAAACATCCACTTCTGCTTCCAGATGTGACGAGAAGTATTTCGATGTATTTCCCGTCACTAATTGCATTCGTGTGAAAAGTTCGAGACTTATCAGCGTCAGTGCAGTGATTAAAACAAATAACACTAATAAAGACTTCAGTGCGTAATGTATGACGACTATGCTCGTGAATAACAGCTTAGGTTTACTTACAGCTGGTTGATCTGGTTTTGAGAGGCGACTGCGTTGTCGGAGAAGTACGGCATAATTTTTGCCCCGCAGCAGGAGCAGAATCCCTGGGCAGAGGAGCTCTCCGTGATCGCCACACTCTCCAGGGTCATGACGGAGGACCAGAGAACCGGAAACCCTCAGACAGACCCCTCTACAGCCATCATACTGTCCCAACTAATAAAAAAAGTTACCCAAAATAAATAAATCAGATGGCAATGCTTTGTCCAGTCTGCTAAAATAGTTTTAAAATGACCCGTCCATAAGGCCTTAAAAGGATACCAACGTGGCCATAAAATAGCGTAATCGTTAATAAAAACAAACAAACCAGTCTCAATAAGTTAACCGTTACTTTTAAACCCGGCCTCTAAACAGGCATAAAACAACAAATGAAAACGTATAAAGCTAAAAAAAATAAAAAAAAATAAAAAATCTGCATGTGCATTTCTTTGGCATGAGCCGGCGAACCGCTTCACTTACACACACTCTGCATGTACTGCGGTGCGGGGCACTAATGCTTGAACAGAGGGAAGGAGGAGCTGCTGACATGTGCTTCAGGAAGGGTCCACTGCAGGACTCCACAGACTGCCGACACTTTAGACACTCGCGCAACGACAGAGCGCAGAGCGGGAATACAACCTCAGCTGCGAAAGCACAAGCCTGGAGTGCACTTAAGTGCATCCTTCGGGGTCAGCAACCTACAGAAGAGGGATAATCGCTGGCATGCAAGCAATAGGGAAAACTGCATACTGCCGCTGCACATACTAGGCGCTTCAGATCAAAGCCTCAGCGGTCTAACAGCGCTAGTCAATGTCAAAATGACTGAGATGGCCAATCAAATCAAAGTAGGCGGGTTTACTCTTCACAGAAGCAGAGTGCGAAGCGTCAGTTTAATGTCAAAGAGAGCAAGGTAAGATTTTTTTTACTTTTAATTGAGAAATATAATGTAGCGATTCAGTATCGATTAATAAAAAATTCGCGTGGCAGTGCTGACAAGTTTATGAGCTTCTGAATGTTACTTTTTGCACAGCGTGATCTAAGATCTTTGTATGCGAGTGGTGTGTGTGTGTGTGCGCGCATCAATTAAAGCAGCACATTAATATAGAACGGTGATTAAACTGAACGGTTTTAATGCATTGGCCTTGTCACACACACACACACACACACACACATACAGTGGTGTTCAGTATAGTCACACTGTATATCTGTTATTCAAGAAACTTTTCCAAAGTTTAAAAAAAAATGTATGAAAAAATCTTCAGAAACTATTTGCATGAAAATCAAATAGGCCTATTGTTTTTTTATCGTATCATTTAAAAAATTATGTACTGTATAAATACAGAATGCATTAAAGGGGTCCTATTATGCTTTTTCACTTTTTAAATTTTAGTTAGTCTGTAATGTTGCTGTTCGAGCATAAAAAAAGATCTGCAAAGTTACACACCTCAAAGTCCACTTCAAAAGGAGATACTTTATTTAACAGAAATCACTTTTCAAAAACTACAACGAACGACTCGTTTGGACTACAACGCATATTTTCCGGGATTTGTCATGTCACAAATATCGACGAATGGGACGAGACCTGGTTGAGCTGCACTAGAGAAGGCAACGAGTGTTATCACTATGTCGGAGACACGCTAGCTTTCTCAAGGCAGACGAACTTAGAGTGGTTACAATCATCCGGGTTTAAATCGCGCTCATATTGATTTGATATTGACACAATATTTACACTGAAGCTCGCAGGCGGCTATGGTAAGGGACATGACATTTCCCGGCCAGGCGCCAAGTGCTACCAATCACAACACGCACTGGCCCAGCTGACCAATCACAGCACATTTCGTATTTCTGAAGGCGGGCCTTCATTTGATACAGGAACTATTCGAGCCGTTCATGCCAGACTGGGGAGAGAGGTGTTGTAATAATGTAAAATATGTTTCGAACAACCTAGTATGAGAGCCTGTTCTAGTACACCCCCAAAACAAAATCAAGACTTTGTAAAAGAGCATAATAGGACCCCTTTAAAAAAAAAGAGGGGGGGGGGTATTGGCACAGTGGTTAACCAGAAAAATTTTAAATGGCATGTCATGCCGAAAAGGTAGCTGACCCCTGGATTAGACAGTTGTTTTCCATGGGCAGTCAAGTGGCTCTATGAATAGCTGAGGTTTAAAAAGAATGTTGGAACAGGGCAAAATAAATACATTTACCAAGCCAGGTTTAAACAGCCAGGGAGGGTGTGTTTATGGGTGGTTGTTTATAGGTGATTCTGAAATTGAAATCATAAATACCATGATGCATATATACTTATAATTTACATGAAAAAACTTGGCCTTTTATTCGATTTTGAGAAAAGAAAAAGACCCAAGAATGTTTTTCTACAGGTTTGTGAAGTTTTTTTAAGACCCTCTTGAGAAATGTTGTAAGTGACAGACTGAGTGATATAGGAGAGAGACAATATAGCTTCACACAGGTGAAAGTATTCAGTCTCTAGTTTATTTAGGCCGTGGCCTGTCTTATATAAGTGAACACACAAACCAAACAATGCCTTTGTTGTCACATGAACATGAACAGCAGGCTTTAAAGCAAAAATCGCATAAGGACTCAAACATTAGCAAACACTTTATGTTTGATTCTGAAGTCACAACAGATTAGGAGAGGTAACAAAGAAAATCCTATGGCTAAAAAAATTAAATTTAAACATTAGTAATCCATCAATTCTTAAAATTCAATATTGATCATATTTTATAATATTAATATCAGGAAAGAGAACAAAAACAACCAAGGAGAGATTATTGGATTTATAATTGTGTGTGTGTGTGTTTAACTAGTGAATGTTTAATAATATGTTAGTCAGCTGTTAACTAATCATGTGACCTACTAAAGAAATTATACTATTCTCACCTGTGGTAAGTCCTCAGGGAGAATAACTTCAGGACACGTAGCCATGAAATAATAAAGGCTTTTTAACTGAAAGAATGCCATGGCCATTCAATAATTTTGTTCAAAACATAGCTTTTGGAGAACCATAGACATTCACTGTTATGTAAATCAAAATGAGTGACTTGGCCTGCCACCAATATTTTCTGGCAGCAAGGAACTAAATACTTCAAATCACATCATTAATCACATTTAAAAAACAAACAAACAAACACGTGCTTCCCGATTCATTAGAAGGGAAAGATCATGGTTTACAAACCACATATTTGGCCCGTCACAAGATTCGGTCTATTTTTTCTGTGTATCCTTGTCAAAGGCAATGACCTGACCCAGACCTATGGGAAAATCTATCTTGTTTAAAAAGGCCCAACACGACAAACACTCTAAATCTCTCATCTAAATATCTGCATGAGTTGTTACGCACAACAAGTTAGTCATACTGTCATATTATTTCATTCAAGGATATTTTTCATCATCTTTGGAGACTTAAAACAAAGGTGCACTTTACTCTAAACACGCCACTGCAATTCCAATGTGTCTCAATAAAAGCCTTTAGTAGACAACTAAACTTTATTAAGACATTTACATGATGGCTTGAAAGAGGAACCTGGGTAGTTTGCCTCAGTGCAGTCCAGACAATATGTCTGAGTTTGATAATAAGCATCAGTCAGTACAGAGACCAGCTGCAAATCAACAAAGTCGGACAGCTGGGAATCAATATTGGGATATTAGTCAACCTATTAAGACTGCTTGTTTAGAGCTCGCTATTCTACATGTCTAAGTGACTCTAAATCAAAGACAGATCTGCCACACGTGTGAATGCATGACGTAGGATCTCTGTGTTTAAAGCTGATGGCATCACAAGATGGTTTAAACACACCCATCTCCTTACGTTCCAATACATCACATTCTGAGTTCCACTGCATTTGCTCTCTTGACAGCACATAACATCTGAGGCCTTATCAAAAAACACCTCTGGCCTGTTAGCACACTCAGGGTTGTGTAAGCTTTGCGTTTGTATCAGTTTTCCTATTTGACTTTCTCGGCTGGTAATTTGAGATGTTGCTGATGTCATGTTGTGTTTACAAAATTATAAGTCCCTGTTGTGCAACAGCTGCCGTCTTGCATGCAATGTCCTGGAAAAGGTCACTAATGCTTCCAAGATTATGGACGCTCCCTTGATTACCCCCATTTCATGACCGCAGTGTTCTTAAGAGCCAGCTGTTTCCTATACTTGGAACTGGGAATGTGTCTGATACCAATTCCTACTCTGTTAAAAAATGGTCAGCCACATGGGAAATCCTGTGGGTGGTAATGTATGACCAAAATCTTATATTGCAGTATATGAGTAATTTTATTTTGGTAAAGGTAAGTCTTTTTCACAACACAGTAGTTGTTGTTGGAATGCAGTGAATTAAATACCTTATGGAAAAACTAACTTTTTTGTTTTTTAAATATTTCATTACATTAAAATAAAAACCATATAACTTAATATTTTATATATAACAAAATTTAAAAAATCATACTAAAAAGGCATTCATTTTTACATGATATATGGTATATGAGTAATTTTATTTTGGTAACGGTAAGTCTTTTTCACAACACAGTAGTTGTTGTTGGAATGCAGTGAATTAAATACCTTATGGAAAAACTAACTTTTTTGTTTTTTAAATATTTCATTACATTAAAATAAAAACCATATAAAAATCATATAACTTAATATTTTATATATAACAAAATTTAAAAAATCATACTAAAAAGGCATTCATTTTTACATGATATATTAATATATTATGATATATTAAATGTTAAAATACACACACACATATATATATATAAGTCTTTTTGTCTTTTCTATTTGATGGACACAACCTGATGGACGCAAACCAAAAGATATGATTAAATAAATTATAAGTCTGGTATCAGTGCAAAAACAGTTCAAAGCAGCTGTAAAATATATAAGCCAATAAATGTAAACCTGTGACTAAACATCAGATGAATTCTAAATGCACAACGTTTTAATGTTCCTTAGCAAACAAAGAAAACCTACAAATCACATTGGACATATGTGGTGCATCTCAATGCGTCAAAACTACATTTTTAACTATGTTTTTAACAAAGCTAACAACACTGGAAACAGCTGTCGGCACTAAATTATGCAGCAGAAATACAACATTATAAACGGTATATTGCACATATCTCTACTGGTTGACATATAATCTAGGTGAAATTAAATGAAATTCAGGCATGAATAAACTTGCTTTGCCCAGCCCTGTGAGAAACAGTCATCAAACCAAATTAATTTACACACACACATAAATATATATTTGTACGTGGTCCAGAAGAACCTGTTGGGCCACACTGCTGTGATGCTGCTAGATGCACGGCCTTCATTTCTCTGCAATTTTCACTACATGCTGGATCTATTTTTCTATTCTGTTTCCTGGTGCCTGTATTTCCTGCTTTCTCTCTTAACCACCCCCTTCTCCAGCCCCAAGACTAATTTGAGCTGCTGGAATGAGGCCAGTGCACAAAGCAAATGTACTGCAGGCCAGCTAAGACTGAATAG